TTAGCGTATGTATATTGCTAAGTGTACAAATAAGTAACCTACTATTCTCTGCTGTTCTACTATGCTGCTATTCTTATTAAGCAAACAAACAAATGTTCGGAGATTAAATTTTACTTCGCTAAAGTAAAAAGGACAGTAGATTACTTTTCAGTACATCAAATACAATTTATTAGCAAATGTTTANTTAGCGTATGTATATTGCTAAGTGTACAAATAAGTAACCTACTATTCTCTGCTGTTCTACTATGCTGCTATTCTTATTAAGCAAACAAACAAATGTTCGGAGATTAAATTTTACTTCGCTAAAGTAAAAAGGACAGTAGATTACTTTTCAGTACATCAAATACAATTTATTAGCAAATGTTTAAGCAATTTGAGCTTTGAAACCATTGTTCAAACGATTAATGTAATTTTTTCGGCATTCCATGTTATCGGCTGGTCTGTTATATGGTAACCAGACGGGTTCTCCCACAAAGTAACGCTTTGCTTTGATGTAATTCTGAAAAAATCGATACACAGAAAACTGTTCAACTTATTGAAAGAAAAAATACTTACATTTGTGTCCAAAGTAAATCTGTGATATATACCACTGGGAATAATAATTAAATCTCCGGGTACAACTTCGATACGTATCCAATTATCGTCTTTGTCTCGTGCATCAAAATATCCTGATCCATCCAAAACCAATCTTATTTCTTCATCTGTATGAAGATGTTCAGTAAAAAAGTTCTTCAACTAAAAATTTAGTGTTATTAATAATAATTGCGATATATAGCATGTAGTTTATATAAATTTCTTACCTTTTCTTCATAATTTGGTAAACATTCTTTCGAACATGTAATTTCATCTTCGTACGTATAACCGCGTTTCTGTCTCAATTCTGTCAGTGTATTGTCATTTTGGTAGTTCTCATAATTGACCTGCGATAACATTCTAGACTTAAATTTTGTTTACATTACTGGCCGGTTAACTGCGCATTTAAAACAAATAATTAATTTGTGATTACAAGTCGTTTGTAGATTAAACTGTAGTAACTATATTTAAATATAGTTACGAAATATGAAACGTGTTAGTCGTCTATGAAATAATTAATAACTATTACATGAAAATGATTACGAAATACTTGTTAGATATGGTACGTATTAAACTTTGATCTAACCTTGAAATATTCGACACCTGTCTTTTCGAACAGGTCTTCAAGGGAGAGAAATTCTGGAGGTACTTTATGGTGTTCTAGCCGTTGATCGGCGTTGCTCTTGTCCATGTACCACGCACGAACCATCTTCACTTTATGAAGAAATTGTATCAGATTGCATGTAATTTTTTCCGATCGTTATTGACCAGTGACGTAACCCATATGATAAGGTTATCATGCATTATGTACCGGTATATTTTTTCGTGGACCATAAGAACATAGGACAGAAATAAAATTATCAACACCGATGGTAACGATATTTCTTTCTGTTCAAAACACGACCCAATAGGGCTCTACGAGTCACGAGAGATGACGTGAAAATAATTTCAATGCGATGTAAATGTATACGTATGTAATTATGATTTGAAGTGTCGCGCCTAAATGGGCAGCGACATGCCATGTTGATCACCGGTCGCGTGGTCAATCCTAAACACTTTTTAATACATTTTTTATTATTATTTAACGTATGTACAGTATATGTATATTCATTTTTATATAGTGTCTATCATTTTGGTTAGGTAAATGTGATTGTTAATACACAATTGAGTTCTGTATATTCACGTTTATTAATAATCGTAATCAATTTCCAGAGATATAAAAGTATATAAATTCTTATATACAGAAGAACTGATATGTACTGTGCACCAACTCAAATAATCCTACAAATTGGACACTAGTTTAATAATTGCGGTGACAATGGATGAACTTAATGTATTTTATAAGAAGGTTCAAGCATACCTGACAAAGAAGAATATAATCTGTGGAGAATTGCAGTTTCTTACTTTAAGAGCAACATCTGAAAGTATTGAACACATTGAAGACATATGCGATTCAATATTGAACATATTTGACGCTTGTAATATACCCACAAGAGAAAAGACTCTGGCCAATGATAAGAAATGTGCTCAATCCTACATGTATTTATTATTAAACACTATGTTCAAGAACCAAGAACGTTTAGGAGAAGACATTGTCAATGGTCATTTGGTTGATATGTGTCCACCTATATCTCCATATGTATTTTTACAAATATTGTGGAAACTTGAGTATGAAAAAGTTTTAATGCAATCTTTTGTTTACATGCCTTTTGATCTATTTAACGAAGTATTAGCTATACTGACGAAATGTATAGAAGAATTACCTTATCCAAAATCAATGAACATTATATATGATACAATATCAATTGCATATGCTAAATTTATCACATTAAACAAAGTTGGTGTACAATCTCAAAATCTTGAAGAAAGTATAAAAAACTTCCAAAATAATTTCCAAGAGTTCCTGCTGCTCTTAACAAATCCAAAGATTGTACCCACAGCAAAATCGTCGGATTTAAAGAAAAGTGAGCGTGGTGGTATCATGTTGAAAAACTTGGTTTCCGTGGTACAAAATTGCTTGAACCTTAATTTCCAAGAAAATCCTACGTCTGAAAATCTTGATAAATTATATAACATAACGTTTGGAAAGGAACCATATGAAAAATATGAGGACAGTCAAATGAAAATTGCTATAGCAACGTTAAATGCAGATTTGATGGATATATTGTTAAGTAAAATTAAAGAAATCGATTGTAATATTTACTTGAACTGGGCCGAAATAGACGATGAAGAAAATAGTATGATCTCTTTGCAACGTTCTATTGGAATTAAATGTTACTATTTCCTAGAATTGATCAAGAATAATGAGGAATTGTCACAGAATAGTGATCTGATAGTATGTTTGCAGCATTTATCATCGAAACCAGATCCCAGTGAGTCAAGTTTTGTTTTAAGTTTACAAGAACTCTGTTGTGCCATATCCCAAGGTAAAAAGGAGCTTATCAAGGAATTGTTACATAGGCACAAAGAATGGGATAGATCGATACTTGATTTTGTTTATATAAACAAATCATTACTAGAAAAGAAAGACTGCTTGAATCTATTACAATACTTAAGTTTTGTTCTTGCACAGTCAACGGACGAAGAATTCAAGAATCTCTGTTACACTTTAGTTATGAAAATATTATCATCTCAGAGTTTACAAGATATCTATGAAATCGTAATGATGTATGTGACAAAACATGATGGCAAAAACTACTTAGAATCTCCACATACGAAAGAAGCATTTCACGATTTTATCACACGAAACTCCAATGTGCTAACATCAACAAATTTGAGAATTGTTCTACTATTCTTATTAAAGAATCTTCGATTAATATTGACTATAATTTTGAAAATAACTATCGGACATCAGGATTATGAAGGCACAATGATTCCCGCCAACGACACGCTTCTTCTACATCCCTTTATGAAAATTAAAGAAGACAATAATGAAATACTTCTAACTAGTACCTTAAGAACTATTTGTGTAGAGGATGCACGATGGAATAGAGTGGCGTTCATGAAATTTATAAGAGTCCTATTAGAAAATGCCGTAATCGACGAAGATAAATTGATGAACAATGTCTTCATACCATACTTGGAGAAAGACACTGTCAATCTAACAAACATAAATACTGTTCTCTACAGTATTCATAAATTGCAAGCTCAATGTACTAAAAATATAAATGTTAAAAATCTGATTATAGCACTTGCTAAGAAAATGTCTTTTTTGAGAAAGGATAAATATAATTCTAAATTCGTGAGCAACGAAACTTTTAGTCACATAACAAGAATATTGACATATTTCTTGGAAACTAAGAGGCATGCAATTCCTTATTTTACCAAGAAAGAAATATTGAATCAGATTCTAAGCATAATTGAACCAATAGATCAATTATATTTCACATCGTTTTGGCGTTTAATGCGGAGAAACGCGAATGTAATTGATATAACAGAAGATTACGAAAGGCGTTGTTTCAATGTGATAAATAAATTGAAAGAAGACCCCACAACTCCGACGAATCTGAGAGACTATTTGTCAAATTTAAAATTGTTAAGAGAAGACTTTTTGCGACATTTAATTACTAGGTCATCCAAAGTGGAACATCATACGCTAAGTAAACAACTTACCAGAATTTTCTTGCATTGTTTTGGATGGAAAGACCAGTTCGAGGCATACGATAATTTCTCTCGTTTAACAATAGAAGCCTGTTGTTTATCATTAGAGTATCCGAATATTGGTGGAAACGAACTATTTTCCTTTTTATTTATGTATTTCACACGCTTTACTAAATGGTTTTTATCAGTTGAAGGTACAGCAGATGAAGGAAAGGTATACGAATCGTTGATTGAAAAACTTCGTCAACTTGAAAGAAGCATATACCAGACACGTTATGCGAATTTGTACGACAGTTGTTTTACAAATTCGAATAAAGATATGCAGGACGATTCTAATAATCTTAAAGAACTGTTCAACAACTGTAAACGGTTCTGTAATTTGTGTTTCGAGTCTTATGATCCAAATCAAAATCAAGCTAAATCAAGATTAGTATTTCATAATCAAAAAATTTCTAATTTCTATGTAATTCATGAAATCATTTCTGCTTGTATGAAAGTACCTGCAACAGAAGCATACGAGTGTATCAAAAGAATGAATGAACTGTTTGTTTCAAGTTAAATTGTTTATACCTGTAAGGTATACTTATGTTATTATAGCAAATTGTGATTTTTCCATTAGTTTATGTTTATAAGTCCTCCTTCTTTATTACGGACCATTACGACTGATTTCCTTCCTAAATACGTGTGTCCATTTTGTAATGATTTCTTATTTTAGTGGACTAGCATTAAATAAAATTCTGATTTTCATGTTTTATTTACGAGGATCAATTGATACCACATATATTTCTCATGTTTATTCTATATTATATTTGTGCGATATTGCCAAAATGCCAGTACAATGGTTAGTAATAAAAAATGTGAAAAAATTGCGTACAAAGAAAAAATGTGCACCAGTTTTTCAGAGAAGGTAAAATCATTTGGGTAGCTATCGCTGAACAAGCTCAATGCTTCCATGGAAAAAATCGACTTGACAATACAATGCGCGGAAAAATTCAGTTGCGTTATCCATCTATCATTTCTAAAATTCAAATTGTAATTCTTGAATATTGGTAACAATAATAACGATGTACGTACGAATATTTAATTTTAGATAAGTATTTTATTTTGTTCATTAAACTACAAATAAAAATAACCACTTTTTCAAGGTATTGTAATCGTTTAGAACAGAATTTATTAGACGATAGGATAATACAGTTGTAAAAACGTTCTTTTTGGAGCTTTTGGCTGGCACTTTTCTTTTTCCATGTCATTGAGTTACAAGAATTCTGTAGTGACTAGATTCTTATGCTGGTAATCGTAGCTAAATGCGCCAATACAATTATGCGACGTAAAAACAAAATGCACTATAAAGAAAAAGAAGAAACAGTTCCACGCGTTGCCGAGTGCTCTACAATCATTTTTGCGCAAAGAAAATGCGGTTTCGTGATTTCTTATTCGTTTATTTTCACTTGCATTAAATAGAGAAATATACAAACGATACAATTCTAGTATACCCTTTTTAAGTAATCTCCCGTTCTTTTTCTATAATTTTTTGTCGTTACTACATGTAAAAAATACCGCGTGTTGCCTTTATGTATTTCCCTTTCCGACGCAAGTCAGAATAAACGAACAATCGAGAGAGATTAAAATTACCAGCGAATAAAAATTTCTCTTATTTTCGCAGATGATGTCGGTTGTAAGTATCTCGAGTATCCATTCTCCGTCTACCCAAGTGATCATGCAAACGATAGTCAACGAAAAAATAAAACAGAAAAAGTAATAATGAAGACACTAAAAACTCAGAAACGTACCGCGTCCCGCGAATATTAAACACAAACCACTTTCTTTTTATTTCTTAACGGAAATGCACATTTTTTTTTACTGTTAGTCATTCTCAATGTTGTCTTTTCTCGGATGTCAAATAATCATTTATCGGTATATTCCTTCTTGTTATTATTATTACTAATATTATATATATAATTCGACGCTATGATATTTACAGATTCTTCACATTGTAAAAAATATAACGTATTTCGTACTCAATATCGATACGCAGGTAGTACTGAAAGGCCGATATACATCTAAATCGTGGTGTTTTTTCGAATTAATGTGACCCAGTTGCGTAACAAATCTGCATGTATACATATATATATTGTATATATATATATATATATATTTATTTTTTTTATTTATTTACTTATTTATTTATATCTAATTATAAAATCGTATGCGAATCGTTCTTCTTTTTTCTAGGTGGTGAATTCTTGTGCTTTCTTTTCCTAAAAAAAGTTATCGTTTTCCAAAATTTATTCTTTCTTTCTATCCCTCTGTTTCTCTTTATCTCTCTTTCTATCTCTTGAAAAATCGGAAGGATTTGCTGGCCGAAAACGAGGAAGTAAAAGAAACGAACCTGGTCCTTGACATTGATATGCTGACTCGGACATAGCTCGACTTTTCACGTATCAGATAACCTTCCGAGTAATTGGACAAATTTCATTTCGTCTCGTGCAAAAGTCTCAGAAAAACTCGTGCCCTTTAGAAAAATATTCTTAAACACGATCTCGTGTCCGGTTAAACACGCGTGTGTCCTACGTGTATATGTGTGTATACGTATAAATGCGTGTATACTGCACGCGTACGCGCGCGCGTATGTGTGTGTGTGTGTGTGTGTACAGAAGCGATACAAATATAGAAACCTCTTTTTTATTCCTTGTTCGTTTCCATGGAGGGCTAGCTACTCGGAAGGCTATCCCCAGTCAGTTAATAAACCCTCTTTCCTCCCTCCCTCCCCCCTCCCCACTCTCATTTTTTAAGTCTTTTTGCCAATCCATGGTTTTCGCGAAGCACAAAAAACCTAGGGGGCGGAAAAAACGTAACGATAATAGAGCGAGAGGCGATTACACGTTTCACAAAGAGGCCCTTTGATTCGCCGGTGAATGGCTTTTACACGCGACGGTTTATTATCGTCGTCGTTTTTAATAGAAAAACTGCGGTTACATCTACGGGATCACAGCGAGACTATGAATTTTTTCCGAGTGATAAAATAGAGGATACGAGTAATTATCTGTTGTCCCCCTTATACCCTTCCCCCTCTCCCTGTTCCCACCCTACCCCTCCCTCTACCTATCCACTTTTCCTCCTGGCTTGTTTTTCATTTTTTTTTTCAGTTGAGTAAAGAGTAACGAAATTAGATGGCCGATTCGCTACGTGTCGGTATACATACGCATCGCCAATCTTAAACTGACGAGTGACGTATTAGCACCCTTTGTCGGTCGAATACGCAGCGCTTGACTCTCCTTATTTTCTCATTTCCATCGGTCCTTGAGATTATAACGCATCGCAATCATAAGAATTATTAGACTGTAGATTTCCACGCAAAATCCAAATTTGTTTCCACAATAAGTTAATAGTTTTGAAAGCCGTATATGCTTCAGAGCCGCCGCGTATTCGACATAAAGACGACCGTTACGAAAAGTGCACCGACAATTGAAAAAGAAACATATTTAACGTACATCCGATAGCTCTTCCCGCGCGGAACAGGTATCGTCGGACTCTCCTCTAACTACCCATGATAGAAATACTGTACATCAGTTCGTTTGAAGCTTTTTCAGTTCGACTTCGAGGTCCTCCGATACTGCGGCTTGCCGGGAAGCGGTATCGTTTTAATTCAACATCGCAATTCGATCCGAAAGACGGGTAAAATCTAGACGAACGAGTAGATATTATACAAACTATAAATACACATTTTTTTGTTTTTGTTTCATCTCTCTTCAGAAGTTTGTATTAACCCTCGCTGAACGACACGCGGATCTGTTTGTGTACATGCGTATGCGTGTACGGGCACGCACACGTGTAAAGACAGCTATACAGGAGGCTAGTATTTATTAATTTATTATTCGACGATCATAGGAATTACCGTTTTGACACGGAACTACCGTTTCAGATAAGAGAAATTTATCAAAACTAATTGTTTCGACGGTGAAAATGTTTATACAAATGGAAAAATGCTGCGGTCTAAACTGGACCCAGGCACGGTCATCCGCGTTAATTGTCGAGATTCTCGGTGCACTTGCGAGGGTTAACATCCTTCGGTTAGACACGATTTAAAAAGAAAAAAAAGATAGTCGAGCGAACAACCCTTATTTTGTTTAACGGTACGTCGTGCGACGATCACACACAGAAAAATTAATGACTTCGATGGTAGCGTGTTAAATAATAACATATCAAGCTAATGTAATCACTGTTATGGTATTATAAATATGATTTCTGCTGTTTTTCCTTTTTTCGTTCTTTTTTGATCACACGAGAAAAATTACACACGACCTACTGCTACTTATAAGGGAGTCAATTGCTTCTTTTTCTTTTTTTCACATCCATCGATTTACATTTACGAAACTCAATGGCAATCGACGTCGTAAAGATTCGAGGAGATTCAAATGAAATTCTTTGTTCGGTACAAAGCAATGGATATATCTGATATTTTTACGAGAACCACGTAACGTGTCTTGCAGTTGAAGGGATCAATGTACCAGCAAGCCTTTGAGTAAAACAGGTGTCCGCAGCCTTGCTTTCTCTTGCTGGCTCAAAAATTCACTAAAAAACTTATTGGAATTGTACAAAGTCTTTGTATTATTTTTTGTTACTATCGTACAGACTTTACCATATAAATCCTATAATTATGTTTACGATTGACATTATGTACTAATATTTTTACTGTAAGATTACCGCAATATCTTTTCTATCAATGTTCACTCTCCTTTTGTTTACGTCTAATACATTTTCCTCAATTAAAGCACCAGATATCGTGCTTGCAATTCCCATTCCAATCGATGCAACGAAAAGCAATATCCGGTGTGCAAAAGAATCGTATTAAAAAATCAGAGAGAGAATACAATCATCCAAATCTAAATCCTTGAGAGAATTTTTGGAGACTCTATACATTTCCCTTAATAAAACATGTATTTTTGCTAATAGAGCTGTACACTTGATACCAGAAACATTAACAACACACCTTTCGAACCCTTTATACGAAGTATTCTTTACCGCAGCCTCTGACATTTGAGCACAGATAATATATCTTTAATGGATATCATTGCACAATGCATATATAAGACCGTTTGCCTCCTCTATAGAGTTTCCGACTATACATGGTAATAAGAACATTTACTCGGTCATTCAAATTGTTTCCACTACGTCGAATGGCTGACCACCACAGTGATTCCTTCAAATATCTGCAAAGTAGTATGGATGCTTTGTTAGTTGGCATCGAACCTGTGAGAGAGCGGCACAGGTCTTTCATGGGTTAGAAGAAACGCACGATGTACGCTTTTTTCAAATTGAGCAGAAAGCTAGACATATAGAGTTTGGTTTCGCTGTTGACAAGCGTAAAAACTGTCTAAGGGCGGTTCTTTATGCCCGTTCAAGTCCATTCCTAATCCCTTCCTGTCGAGTATTGGTCCTTTGCTGACGGAGTTACCTCGTTCGTTGCCCACTTATCGTCTATCTTTATATATTACAATAATATTACATATAATACTATCCATGTATATTAAAATATTTAACAGCGAGCCCCGTGGCAGACTGTGATCTTCAGATAGAAAAAGAACCAAGAGTCTTTGACATAGTAGAATTCACAAAGATCCAAGGTAACACGTTAGTCTTACAGATTGGCGAATTCACAGCACATGCCCAAAAATGTTGAGCCGAAGAGAATAGCGAATCGATCCAGCGGACTGCGATCGTCGGCCGCTACAAACCGACAAAGATTCTATCCTTTACCTAACATGGCTCGGTTAGCCCGGTCAGCCAGGATTTTGATTAATCATTAGAGGACACTGCAACAATAGGTCTTCTTCTCTTTCTCGGGGCTGACGTTCATCTCGCGTACGATTTCGGCGAACACGTCGTTGACGTTCGTACGGTTCTTCGCAGACGCCTCGACGAACGGGCAACCCCAGATTTGCGCCAAAGCAGTGCCTTCAGCAGTGTCGACCTCGCGTTGGTGCTCCAGGTCGAGTTTATTCGCGACGAGCAACACCGGCACTCGTTCGGTGCCTTTCACACGGGTGATCAATTCCTTCATGGCTTTGATGTCCTGGAAGGTCTGATGGTTTGTCAGACTATAGACGACCACGAAACCCTGTCCGTTCTTTATGTAGAGATCCCGCATGCTGGCGAACTGCTCGGTGCCGGCGGTGTCGAGGATCTCGAGCACGCACGGCGAGTTGTCCACCTCGATCTCCTTCCGGTAGAAATCCTCGATCGTCGGATCGTACTTCTCCATGAAGCATCCCGAGACGAATTGCACGGTGAGTGCACTCTTGCCTACCCCGCCCGAGCCGAGGACGACTACCTTGAACTCGCGCATCTCTTTGCCAGTTCGCCTCCGTCTCTTCCTCCTCCTCCTTCTCCTCCTCAACGTGTCCAGGACCGAGAGGAAAGCTCTGTTCTCTCCCCCGTGTATATCGGGCCGATTGCGCACTGCCACACCGCCGATTGTTCTTTCTCGAACCGTATAGCCGTGCGGTCGAGCCAACCGTGGCCGCTACTAACTCCGTCCTCGTCCTCGTATGCTCGAAGCTAACGCGCTCCAACGAGAACAGCTCTTATTGCCGAACAAAGGCATCGATGATGGTGTACGTAAGTAGAGACACGACGGGATAGAATCCACGCGTTACGTTTTCACCGCGGCAACGACGACGACGATCGAGACGCAACCGTTCCTGAAGCCCGAACAGGACATGACAGCACCGTAATTCGCACTCTCTGTCACACACCGTAGTCCCCTGGCGACGTTCGCACTCTTCGCAGTCGCCTGGCCTGCCTGCCTGCCTCTTTCTTCCTGTCTTTCCTCTGCCCCTCACTTCTTCCCTGGCTCTGACGTGCGCGACGCCATCTTATCGCGCTTTGGATTTTCTTCGAACCTCTCCTCCTGACACTCGAGCATCGAGCACTCTGCCTCTATCTCCTCCGCTTCCTCCTCGCTACTACTTCGTACGGCCTGGCCAATTCTACAATACGGCCCGATTTCGGCTCGCGACACTTATCTCGGCAGAGCCGAAATCCTGTCCCTTAGGTCACGTTTCCAATCACGCTGACAGACGTCGTGTTTCCTTTCGACACACGATCGCTATTGGCCAGTTACCGACTGGGACGGAAAACTCGGACGAATAGCGGCGCTGTACGACCAGACCGACATCCGCTCTTTCTCTAGTTCTGCATGTACAATACATACATATATAAAACGGTGCCCGAGGAAAATAGTAAGAGAGGAATCACGGAAACTCCCTTTACCGGATGCAAGTGTCATTCTCTTATCTTTCAGACAGCACTATCCACGACCTTAACGCTCCCGAGCGTTCAGTGAGTTTTATTAATATTACCAAACGTTTCTCCGAAATTTTCGAATAAATTTCAGCTATTCTTCGTATTCCTATACCGCAACACTGTTTCCCGGTTATTTGTAACCGATGTTTTATTAATAACGATGATCCAATTATCCCAACGGCCTATCAATGTCTTTAATATTATTGTTATTATTACCACTATTATGATTATTAATAATTATTAATAGCTACACGTGTTACTGCCTCGCTTACCTTGCCAAACTAAAAAGATGCTTCTACACAGAGCGAAGATTTTCGAAGTATGTATTTGTAAAATGTTCATCGCATATCGAATATGTGCATGTATGTATGGCTCGCTAGAAACATGATGTTTTCGTAAGAGAGTAAATTGAGTCATCGAGCATTACACAAAGCTAACACACCACATATCACATGAGAACAGAGCATAAATCGTGAATCCTTAAAATAGATTGGAAAAGCAGACATGCGTGCAATAGGAAATCGATTTTCAAGCAGACATATTACTGTATCAGTGGTCCTGTTTTCTCTTTCGATATTTCATTCGAGAACGGAGAAAAAAAAATAACGGAAGATAAACGGGACCGTGAGCATCGTATGTATATATTTGATAGTTTCCCTTCGATGGGCGTAACCCTGGTTTTCTGTAAAACAGGAAGCTTGCATCGCTACCGTATCTTGTGGTCTAACATTCCGGTAATCCCTGTCCTTTCGGTGTCGATGTGTCGCATAGAAATATGTGATTTCAGCTCTCGCTGACGACCTTGTGGTATGCGAACGCAGACACATGTGAGACACGATGACATCATCCGATGAAAGTGTACATAACTGAACAATGCATCACTTTGCGTTGTGTTCGGTGACGAATTGACGATAATTAATCAGCGAGAGACAGCTCTGAATGGACCATCGGTGAAGCATGAAAACTCGTTGAAATATTTACAGATTCTTCGGAGCTATTCAATGGAAATTGTCTTTGCTCGCTTGATCGCATTCGTCAATTTGTTTAGAAATCTGCATGCGCATATCTATGCATGCATGTATATTGTTGCCTTTTAATGCCTCGGTCAATGGTTGCAATTGTATAGATATAGGGTAAACGGTCAAACGAATCGATTTTTACATTGCATCGGTACTGAATCAGCTGACACTGAACACAACGCATCTGGCTCTCGAGAAGCACGTGTATTTATTGCTCCGCTTATCGATGATTTTCGATGTCACTAATTAGAACGTCTCATTGATTAACGACAAACTCGGACTGCTAATCTCGATTCTTCAACGTTCGTTCACCGTGCGAAGAGTAATCAGTGCGTGATCGGCAGTACGAGGAAAAAAGAATCGCACGAACGAAAAGTTATCGAGGTTGTACACAATAAACGAGGAAACTGTCGATTAGGGTCCATGAAACTTAATTCAAGGCTGTTAAAAAGTAGTGCATACGCCGAAGTAGAATCTAGTTTAAGGTATCATCCTAGCTTTTTTTTCTTCTTCAACTTGCGATTCTTGATTCCGATCAATCTGTTACACCGTTCGTATTGCACTAGTAATTTCTTAACAGGGACATCGCCTTCGTATTTACATAATCGCTTAGATTACCGATTAGTCGGTTATTAACCAGTGGAATAGAATTTTTGAAAATAAATATATGATATCACCACAGAAATAATTCGTTGTATAAAAATAGATGTACACGATGGAACAGCAAGATTTAATTATGGCATCGACAAGAATACGTAAAATCTAAAAGCGTTTCCCTTTATTAATACATATTATGTTGTGGACTAATTATCGATTTTCAATTATCAGATATTACAGTTTCCACGATGAGTCGATTATATGGTTAATTTAGCGAAAAAGTTATCGATCGTGGACGTGTCGCGAGACAAAGAATTGTTATCAATAAAAAATGTCGAGTTATCGGGTATAGCTCTCGTATCCTCGCATAAAGTTACAACGACCTTTACCAGGGGACAATGACCTGACTGTACAATAACATTACACTGTCACGATTAGAATTTCGTGTCATCGTACGATCCTTTTCGTAACTAATTACCGCTGCTGTTACTCCGCCCGTAAGGATGTTGTCTCCACGCAGAAGTTTACCGACCGGGCGATTATGCGAACATAACCTAAATATCAAAACAATGCGCAAATAAGACAAAGGTGAATAGTTCACTGTGTTTAATTGTTAAGTATTATTTGTAACATCGAATGATTAGATCCTTAAACAAGTTTAACCGTTATTCTCGACTATAATTGGTTTCTCGAAGCGCAATACGCGCGTCTGAAATATTGGCGAGAGTCGAATCATAGATTTAACTTTCGTGTCAAATGTGTTACTCGTTTCTTTTGTTATTAGAACTTGGAATCACCAAGTGTAGATCAATTACTATTTCCAATCGCACGCGAGTTAAAAAAATGACAAAATAATTTGATAGTCGACGTGTATTATAATAGAAAATAAATCAGTATCGATTGAGAATGATATTTGTTTGGGCAATTTGTTGAGTTGAGTTTCTCAAGGAAAATTTCTTTCAAATTCAAGTGAAATATGAATTCCCCGTATGCAGCGCAACCACTCCTGCCGTCATATCCGAGTGCACCGCTACCGGCGCCTGGTGGGCTCCCGACGGGGCAACCCAATATGCCGATGTCAGCACAAGGTAAGAAGTATTCTACAATCTCTAACAATAAACAATTTTATCTAAAGATTCGTTTATCTTCTGGAATAACAGCCGTGTAGCTACACACCACCGGTGCAATGAAAATCATGTTTACGTCGCACTTATCGCCTCGTATCAGATTTCGTTTAGATCACATTTTTAAATAGTCGCGTCCTTGGTGGCTAGAAACTGTTTACGCGCGCTCGACGAGCTATTATTTACTTGATTCTTTAAAAAATATGTTACCATGTGGCGGGAAGCATGAGGCTGACCTATCCTCGATTCGATCCTTTATATTCTACGATGGCCGATGAACCGATTAACCTGTTCACTGAACAAGTGGAGGGGACTGATAACGATACGCAGCAATTTATCTCGCAACGAATAAAATTATAATTTAGTCCCGCGTCGCTGCGGAACTTCTACCATGAGTATGCGAGTAACCCCATACAGTAAAAATAAGCCTGCGATTCAGATTTGGAAATTTTTTGCAGCGCAGAAACAAACGAAAATTGCGAAAAATACAAAATGGACACGAATACCCGGCAGGCCCCGATTGCTCGAGTAGAATAAGGATTAGCAGGTGACATATTTCCGAATATCGGTAGATGCTCTCGGCGACTAGAGTCGTCATTTTATCAGTTGACTAGCATTATCGGGGTCCGCAGTGCAAGAGAAAAGATACCATAAACGAGCCACGAATGACACGATACAGTCTCACTGTTTGCCAAGTGACGACCAGTAAGTAGATAATAGTCGTCTTCGTTGATGGAAGCGTCACGTATGCGGGATAAGTGCTATCCAGTTTCGTGTTCTTGTCTACTCGACTCGCCCTTTTATCGGCAGTAAATACACTCGCGCCATTCCGTGCGAACGGGACCCTGCAACCGAGGGCCCCTGTGCCTTCTTTCCGTGGATTATTAGTGCCGAAACAATTAACCGATTCCTTCGGAGGATGCACTTTTCTCGATGATCCGCGCCCGACTGTGTCGAGCAACGTGCCACGTGAACTCACGATCAACCTTGATCTATGGATCAACGAAAGTGAGGTGAAACTTTTAAAACCGTAGCTGTGGTGCCGCTTTTTTTAAATGTGTCTCTGGTATTCACATTGTAGATGCGATCCACTGGTCGTTACACAAAAACTTGTCATTTCTTCGTGACAATTACGATCGGCGCTCGCAGCTTAAAGATTAAAAACACCATGCGATCGTACTTGACCCAGTGCACAAGAATATGATTCGAGCCGAGAGTGATCGTGTGGCCGTACGCGTTGATTTTTAAGCAATTTCGAGTTGTTTCTATCGATCTCTCGAATATCAGATTGCGGAAAGTTTGAAGAAGCTGCAGATGCCTATATACAATTATTGACTTCGAGATTTTCACGACCGACTTTTCCTCCCGCACCGAATGCACCGTGGAAATAAACGATGAGCCTATCAGAGCCCCGTGAATTATGTCCCCCGATATATGACCGCCGTTATAACGGATGAATAAGAAGATTCGTGGCTAGGGTCAGAGTTGCGGGACGATTGTCCAGTAATGTTACGTTATTGTTCTGATAAACGTACCCTCCGAAACGGAGATTCTCTTCGTGCTATCTTCTGTCGCTTTCCTCTTATTATAGTCCAATTGAATTTTATTCTTGGACCGCTAGAAATTCCGTTTCACTGTGACGAGTGGGACCGCGAACTTATACGTAGAATCTGACAACAACAACAACAACAACAACATGTAGACAATTAGGAATTTACTTCGAACCCTTTGCCCTCGTTAGACTAGCCGCGCCGCCCACGTTGCAGTTGTCTACCAACGTGTGGCCTAATTGCTCGAGGTGCAAAAGGTTAAATTTGCATATTGCATTTCTGCCTCGTTATCATAACTTCTACGTAATATCCCTCGATTGTTTTGAGCAGCGCATTAGAACATTAGAGATGGTCCCAGCGTTAGAGATTCTGTTAATTTCGAGACACTGTTGCCACAACGGCGGACAGATCGAGGGGACGACGAGGTCGGTTGCACGTGAGGTGATTCATGGTTAATTAACGGTGTACGAAGATTAAATAATATCCCGGCCAATCTGCGAAACGACGCGACCAGTCGTACGCGCGTCGGCGGATCTACGATTCGCCGCTTTCGAAGGGCTGCAATCATGTTGCAGTTGACACGGCGGTCCTTCGTTTTTATGCATACAACAAAAACGCACTGTCTTCTACGTTTATCTTCGTGCTCGCGAAAATCGAAATATTGCAGTCGGCAATAGGATAACGCGATATTCGAACGAAACGACAATTATAACGCCTCGATTGTCTAAATTCGTCCCGAGGAATAAGATAACGTCTTTAATCATTGCTTTCGAATTACGGCGAACAGTGTAGCGTATCTTATGCAATGAAATGTAACGTACGAACAACAAATTATTAACCGGATAGAATGTACACGTCTACAGAAGATATCGTTCTCTTATCGATATTGGGATTAAGATTCTTTCTATCGATTAGTTCGATAGACCAATCGTATTTTCGTCGAACAAAATTAATAACATTTCACTTATCGTCTCGTGGAGCACAGTTATGGCACAGTTATGCCGTACGCGTGTAACGCAAGAGGAAACACGAGGCCAGTGTGGGTTGTTGTAATATTCCCCCCGAACAGTTGGAAAATCTTCGTCTCGCGGAGAAGTATTTATTGTTTTCTTTATCTACGAAGATAACGTTGTAAAGCGGAGCAACCCGAGGCAGCAAATGTGTCCCAGAAAAAGTACACAAGTTTTATCGTTTCGTCGAGCCCGGGGATCGCTCGAAAAAACAATGGTACGTTAGTGTATCGAGCGCTGTTAATACCAAAGGACACGTTTACTGGCCGATCGCTCGCTCGGAGAGGTCTAATTAACGAATAGCAATCACGACCAGTTGGAAAGCTTGTCGCATCGCTGAGTATAACTTGAAACGATTCGAATGATCGCGAATTCGAGAGTGAATCGATCCGCGCGCGATGGAATCCGAATACTTTGAGACTTCCTGGAAAATCAAGGTGCAACAAATACGGAGACGACTCCGCAGTTTGTTTCGGGACACGCTGGAGAGATACCGATCGAAGCGGAAGAAGGGCTACACCAGATTTCTCACGGACGAGGAAAAGAGGTGACTCCGAGACGTAGCCGATCGTCACTTTCCATCATCTTCTTCGTACACTAGCATTCACTTCGGTTCTGTCCTCGATTCTATATTGTCCAGTTTGTAGAAAAACCTGCGAATTTGATTTCAGGTGGTTGGTTGCTGCCGAATACGATCTGTCCGCCCGGCTTGGAATACCTTATGGCCCTTGATCATCTTTTCGTCCAGCAGAAGTTCGAATGTGAGTTGCTTGAAACGCCGATGTTATCGTTATCGTAAACCGTTTCGAACCGAACCTTTAATCTTTGCGTCGTTTATTCGAATCGAGTGTAATGGGGTCGCAAATGGATCGTTAGAGCTCCCTAGCGAGGCGTCCATTAAACCTAGAGTGCACAATTCGAAACAGCTTAGCAAGTTGAAAAGCTCGCCTATCGATCCAAAGATCTAGGGCTAGGATTTGAGACGCAGGCTTGTCGAGTCTCTCGACGATGTAGATGGAGATCAGGCATGGGCGAGTCACTTCGGCCGCGGGACACAAGCTTCGCTACTGCTATTCCATGCACATTGCCACATATAACATGGACAGCTCCGCGTGGAGCACAGAAGAAACAATGTCGTATCGTTTCTCGTGTCGCGCGAGTGTGCGAGGGACGAGCCTAGGGCCAGTTTTGGTCCACGGGCCGCGATTCGCTCATGCCCGATGTAGATTATAGATCGTTTCGATTGTCAAAGAAGCTCCTGTTCGCATTTCGTAGACGCAGATCGTTCCCTTTTCTAGTCGGGTACGAGCCGAAACACGAGTACCACGTGCTGAATATCAGAGGTGAGCCAGTGTTTTATGCTACCGAGCAATCCGGGATTTGCGGACGTTGGTGTCTGGGCACGTATCGGAGCTGTGAATTCCAAGTGATCGACGGCACAAGAAGGGAAGTTCTTCGAATGATACGGCCCTTCAGGTGTGACAGCTGTTGCTGTCCTTGCTGCCCTCAGGTACACGCCAATCATCTTTTCGCAACGCGCGAGAAACGACGGCGCGCGGGTCCTTGACGAAAACCGATCGTGCCGGAAATGCCAATTGCCGACCGATAAATTCGATCGGCGAGATTAACGGTATAATTGCTGCAATTTATCACTCCAACAGAGGCAAACTCCAATCGACACAGAATTACGTTTCACTGTTGACTTTGACTGATCGTAAAGAATCAAAATTCCCATTTCTCATCAATGATACGGTTTCCGCGATTCCAATGGGAACATCGGAGTTCGGATTTTGAGAAACGAATGCGTCAGCTTTCCCTGAGTTAAGCACGTGAGTCACTGTATTCCCGACGAACGAACTCTTTTCGATTGCTTTTCGTCCATATTCCATCTCGAACAACCATAGACACGCTCGATCGGTTCACGAAGGACGCGTCTCGTCGCATCGGCCCGTAATTGCCCCCTTATTTATGGTCTCCAATGAGTATTGCTCTCTCGCGAAACGTTAGCGGCTTTATCGAACATGCGGCGCGCATATGACGCGCGAACTTGGGCAGCACACGTGCGCACCATCTGCGATCGCCCATCACCTTTGGACGAAAATGTTGGTCGGCCCATCGCATCGGGAAGCCCGGTCACGATCGGTTCTTCTTTGAACAGCGCCGACCTGCTCACCGGCCACTATTTTGCAGCTGTATTGTTCGAGACACGTCCAGTCGCATATTTCGAGAGTGTTCGCGATTGTTTCCGTGAGGTAATCCGGTGATTTATTTATTTATTTAGGAATTGGAGGTCTATTCCGGTGACACGCTATTGGGCTCGGTGTCACAGGATTGGAGTATATGGCGACCTTCGTTCTCGGTTCGCAATGCAGCCGGGGACACCGTGTTGAAAATTAAAGGGCCGTGGCTCAAATTTTGTATAAACGTGGCATTCAAGGTAAGTACTTTGGAATAGTTCAGGAAGAACGCTTGGATCGTTCAAGTTTAAGAGATCGTAGGCAAAGGTTTAATGTTCACATTTTCCTATAGATCAAGTCCGCCGACGGCGATCATACGGTCGGTGTCATTCAGAAAGAATGGAGTGGAGCAGTCAGGGAATTTTTCACGGATATTGACAATTTCGGAATCGCCTTCCCCCTGGATTTAGACGTGAAGATCAAGGCCGTTTTACTCGGCGCTTGCCTCTTGATCGTGAGTCTCATTTTTCGCAGCATCCATGATAATCAATTTCTGGTTGCTATTGTTCCGCTGGATATTAATACAACTGTGTTCCAGGACTTTATGTACTTCGACTCAAATCGACGTGTAGGGAATACTCTGTAAAACTTTATCCACACTGGACAATGAGGACTGTTTGCTGTCAATATACACATGTCAATGTGAAGCATACTATGCCATACTCGACGACGTCTGCCATTTTATAATTTCTCGTAAGATGAGATATTTTTGTATACTCGTGATTAATTTATTGCATTATCCGACGGTGGATTTTTGAAACTATACTTTATATTAACGATCAATAATCCCTGTAAAGTTTACCTACGAGGAATCACCCTCGAACGTGTGATACGATTGAATCTGACAAGTTATTTTTATAAGTGTGTTTAGAATGGTTAATACAAGAAATGTTTTCTTATCGATCGGAGGTGTAATCGTTGATGATTATTATTCAGAATATTTGAATTTAACCATCGGAATGATTTTTATCCAGGTCAGGACATATGTATATCCCCCCAAAAACATTTGCAATGGAATGTAAAAATATCAAGTAGTTGAGTTCGATTTGGACTCTGGTTCCCGCGAAAAATTTCCAACAAATTAATCTATAAAAAATCTCCATATTAATGAATTCATACAAACAAGCATCCGGAAGATAATAGTAGAAAACAACTGAGTTTTCGACTGAGTTTTTTTGTGGATTAATATTTCATTTTTTATATTTGGAAGCACTTTTGGGAGAGTTAAAATTTCTTGAAGGTTTTTTTAAAATAATTCATTAATAACTTTTGAATGCTTCTTTGGTGGATTAATTGTTTTCTATTATTATCTTCTGGATGCTTGTCTGAGTGAATTCATTGATATGGAGGTTTTATGTGGTTTAATTGGTTGGAAATTTTTTGCGGGAACCAGAGTCCGAATCGAACTCAACTATTTGGTGTTTTTACATTACATTGCAAATGTTTATTGGGCGGATTTCACTTATTTTTGGTATTGCTATGTATTTTTGCGAGTGGTGTGTCGAAAATCATTAATTGGAGTCTTTCTTTTATATCTTTTCGAGGTGTTGTATTTTCAGAGGTTTGTTTTGTGAATTAATGTTTTATCTTTTTCTGTATTTAAAAGAATTTCTAATTAAACTGAAGCTTACCAGCAAAAATACAGTAACAATAGTATACATAATGTACGCAGTATACGTAACTGAAAATGAAAAATTGTATGCTTGCACGTGAAATTGATATCTCGATATCTCAGCTATTTCTGTCTCTATTGACATGTTTGAGGACTTTTTATACGCGCACGGTTACACTTAACAATTGGGCAATCATCAAAATTATAATAAATAACTATTAAAATTGTTGGCCGTTTTGGTCAAGGAAAAGAGATATACAGCTAGCGTCGCGCGCCACTCGACTATGTACTTGGCGCGAGACGCTGCCGCGTTTCATGATATTACGCTCTGCGTGAAATTCTACATTTCATAATGTACATAATAATTGTCTATTTACGGACAAAGAGGCGCGTTATTTTATAATACTTCGTTCAGAGACTGACATGCCTCGGATGTCGCAATTGTAAGCGCGACCTTTTATGTTGATTTATACAGATTAATTATTGTACAATTACATTTACAGATTGTAAGAACTCTATTTATGATATTTTTGTGAATACTTATAAAGGATATTAATAATTGGAAGAACTGCTATTTGATAGAAATACAAAACTAACGTATACTACATCTGCGATAGAACATTAACTTTATTTTGTCTTATATATGCTGTTACATGAAATAAGTGAATCACAATTTAGCTTAAATCCGGCCGGAGAAACTTAACGGAGACACCCTTCAATTCTTCCCGTGGACAAAAGTAACAATCCTACCATAAAACGTTTATTCTCACAACACCGACACTATACATATACATATAATCTCATCTTGTCAACAGATCCTGGTCGTGTAAGGTACAGCCTGTACAAAATATAAGTACATCCATATTTATAAAAGTACAACGTTCAGCCGTCATCGGAAGACGGTAGAAATAATGTTTCATTTAAAACATCGGAGCAAGCAAGGCTTTCGATAGCGATATCCCAATTTCGGTGAAATGAAACATACAAATTTAACTATGTGTTAACGATTTGAATCCTTTGCCTGCTTCAGATAACGCCCGGGATTGCTCTCGGGGGTCAATAATATTAGCAAATCGTTATAAAGTGGGCGCGGCTTCGTCGCTTCCGTTTTCGCTGGGGTCAGGAGGGTGGCCCGTGTAGCAATTTGTGGGTATTCATGGCAATTCGTGACGATACGTGGCCCCTACTATCCAGACCCAGACAGTGAAAACTGATTTGTCAATCGATACAAAGCGGGATCGTCGAAACTTATAGATTTGAAATTCTGTAACAATCGAACGACGATCCCGCCGAGAAGAAACTTTGTCGAAAAACTTGCCCGCGCGGAAGATATTGGTAACCAGTCTGTTGGGAGCATTAGATCCTTAATCCTACGAATATATCAATATCGTACATCGAGTTAAGTTATTAGGTCACAGATAAAGCGTATAGCTCGGATTCTATCGCGATATCTCTGCACATTGCAAGATTGTGAAACAATCGATAATTTCCTCGAATTAACGTCTCGTTTTGCCCGAAATCGCGGGACGCTAACGAGGGCAAACGTCTAGGAAAAGTTCTGCAAAATAAAATCAATCGTGGCGTAGCTCGCGGCCCCCTCGAACTAATCAGGTACTGCATCCAATCATACTTCTAATTGTCGAAGTATACGCTTTAACTCTAACAATCCTACGGCTAGCTTTCAAGGAATGACTCATAATTATCGTCGACATACACGTGAATTGGCAAAGAATATAATCTCGAGATAGTAAACGGATCGGGACGAGTCGTGTGTATGTCGCGAAATGAGCGGCAAGGCTTTTTACTTAATTTAGCACGAGAATCAGCGAAGGCGTCATTCTCAGAATTCTCGAATGAACTTTCAAAATTGTGACGGACAGTTACGTTCGCATCTCGTAGCAATCGTAGGTGAACGTGCCGAGTTTTTCCGAATTCATTCGAATAATAGTAAGCGTTCTTAAAAAATAACGTCGTCTTGTCGCACCGTAAAACGGTGCGAGTGCGCCGTCGAGTCGTAAATAAATTCCACCATGGATATATCGAGAAATCGCTAAAATCATTTCAAAGGAGAAATCCAGGATTTATTTGTGACTCGACCGGACGATTGGAAGCATAAATTGCGAGCAAATAATGGTCCAGCGAGTCTTATTCGAATAGATTACAGAAGCCCTTAAGTAACAGCGGCGAACGTCCGCGAAGAACTTAACGAACATTCATTTTGGGACGTCGAGAAGAAATACAGATATGTCGTGTGCAAATTTCTATGCACTCTCTACGTGATCTTGGCCAGGTCCGAGCACCGAATGAATGCTCTTTGCCCCTGGGAGCAACGTAGACGAGCCAAATGGGCGTGGCTTCTGGGCGGAGCCAAGGTGCTCGTACCTGATCTAGACTTTGATCTAATTTCTAGAGTGTCTGGTTACTTGCTAGAATTATACTGTAGTTTGATCGGTCTCGAGTTCACTCACCAGTGGTTACTAATGGAATGTACCAGCGAATTTTGAGTCCACTTGGATCGGATTAAGATACTATCGTGGATCGAGCGTTTCGGAGTAAATTGCGTTGAAGGCTGCCAACCGTCTCGTCGAGTTGACTAAGGTTCGAAAGAGAAACACCGTTCGTTTCTCACGGAAGCGGAAGGATGCGTGAAATATTCGAAATATCGAGTCGTTGCAAAAAGTTGCATGGATCGGTTCTGGCAGCACGCATAGCGCAATTATCTTCTCCCAGTTTCAACAACAAAGACCAACAAAGTGAGGTGTGCCACGGTAATATCACATCGAACGATCTTTAATGGAAGCGTCGTCTATCGTAGAATCTCTGTTTCGTGTTTCACTGAAAAACTCTTCGAAAGAAATACAGCATAGGAACACCGAACACTTAAAAAATAAGATCGCAACGATCGCCTACGCGATTGTACCGACGGAGTACGGTATAAATAATCTTTCCAGTTATCTCTCGTCGTTAATCATTTCATCTCGATAACATATATCGAACGTTCTATGAAAACATTTACAACCTTTCTACTGCAACATTCAAGAGTAACGTGATCAGAGTTCATTGATCATTTCGTCGAATTGCAATTGTTATCAATAAATCTTTCCTCGGACATTAGACATGGGAATACAACAATCGTCGCACGAAAATTCGAACAAAAAAGTGCATCGTACGATTGGTCTATTTGCATGTCGTCTAACTATACTTTCGTTCGTTCGTTAACCTTTAATTAGTTTGCAGTTGTGCTAAAAATGAGGATTTTTAAAGTAATTCGGTTGACAGGTTAATTAGTATTTAACATCGAACAGAGCCGATGAGGGTCCAAATGGGATGCCGTTGGTAAACTCGTACTGAAAGGGTTATGAGTAGCTACATTTTGATAGCAACAGGTACGAAATTCCATGAATCTGTTCACATTAATCTTCAGTCAACGATCTATCGACGGCCTATCGAATCACGTGTAAACATGGCTGACGTGGGAGAGGGGCGGTTCTCGTGTACCCGCACAAAAACACTTTTCGTCGAGGGCACTTTTCATCGACAGGTACCCTCGATCGTATAAATTAAACGCGCGTTGATCACAAACAGCTCTACCTTTATCGGCGTTGATTTTGATTTGCGCGCAATTACGCAGAATGAATCGAAAGATCCACCGCGCGCACAACCGGCGAAGCCGAATCGATAGGATCGAATCGATAACGGTCCCTTCGATTATCGAAGGAGCCGCGACGATATTGTTCACCGTGCAACCGTCCCAGTAGGTGGTTCGAATCTAACCGGGCTAGGTCTCGGCAATATCAAACCGTCGTTTCCCGAAATATCTTCACCGACGAGTCCGCGTGCTTGATGTGAATGTATCTTGTGATCGTGGACGCGGCGTTATTGTTGTTGTTACTGCCTCCACTGCCGTTGCTGTTGTGGTTGTTGTTGTTATTGTTGAGCATCTCGCGACTGGTCAAGCCGGACATCACACCCGATTTGGACCCATCGTTCATCGTGTCTGCAGTAAGGAATCAATCATTTGGTGGATCGTTTTTCAACTACAGTAGAGCAGATTAAGGTAGGATTATTTCTCCTAAACGATTTTAGCCGTATTTCTGCCTTATTAACCCTTAACTGGACGTTCAAGATCGACGTTAGAATAGATTAGATAGAAGTAAATAGTTCGTTAGATAGAAGTATTATATAATAATAAATAAATATTAGTTAGATAAAAGTTAGTTAGATAGATAAAAGTGAATAATAAATGTATACATTTAATCTTTCCATCTAAATATGTAGCTTCGTAACATGGAAAACGTAATGAACCCACTTAAGAGTTAATAGACTGTGGATATATATTTATGAAAATTCCTATTCTTAGAGAAATTTCAACATAAGCTTTCTAGCAATATCAATTCTAAATGTTGAGCGTATTGATCGATATAATAGGAAGTATCCTAGTTCTGTATGTTATGGATTGTATCATCATAAATGTGGACCCTGTCAGGCATTCTTATTCGCGCTATTTTCTAACGTAGAAGTTCAAATCCATTTGGTATCGTGAAGCTAACCGCGCATGCGTGTGAACGAAAAACGCGGGGCACAGATTGCGCGCGAAACCGTTGCATGTTTGAACGTGGTATTAGGTTCGAACCGTGAATCTTCGAATTTACTTCAATCTGCTCCACCGTATGGATTAGTGTTTATGGTAAAACACTTGGAACACCGAAAGTACACTGCGATGCAACGTGCAGAAAACAGCAACACGTAACATCGAACGGCATTACACCACGAGGTTATAAATAATAGAAAGTTGTATTAAAAATAAACGTGTATTTACAAACGGGAAGAAAAGTAATTGGTAGCTTATTAGGGAGGAGGGTAACATAATTGCAGCAGGATGTCGGGGTTCAAGCGTAATAACTGAACAGCTCGAATCTGCGATCGTTTATTGGATTCTGGTTTGGAGATCTTTGAGTCGGTTCGATCGAACGAAACTTACAAAATTAAAATTCGACTAAGTACCTATGGAAACATGAAGTTCTCGATACCTTAAACGATTGTATCGCAAATACAGTTACTCTTTTTTGGCAAGACTCGAAAGAACATGCACGTCGACGGCGCCATCTACGTACTAACGTCTCTTTAACGGCACTGACTATACCGCGAAGACTCGAACGGGCCACGAGACCCATTAACAATTAAGGCACTATCATTACAATAATATCGTCTTTGCGTTTGCTCGACGGTATCTCGAGTTGACTAATTAAAAAAAAATAAAGGCAATTAAGCTACGGAACAAGCATCGAGAACTGAACGTAATGTAAAAGAAACTATATCGTAAATAAAAATAATATTTCTCTCCCAGACACACATGTACGCACATACATTCTTTCTTACCGCTAGAACGAAACTAACTTTGGCAGTCGAGTCCAAGTACCGGGCTACATGTGCATCACGCTACATGCTACGGTAGACACAGTGAACTTGGCAAGGATATGATGCACACGGCAGTGCATCTTTCTTTCGTGCGATGTCATTCGACGACTCGTGTCGCCACCAGAGCTGTGGTTCGATGTTCAAATTTCAATTTTCGCGCGATCAGCCGCTATGGTGACATCACAGCCGATCGAGCGGCATCGTGCACGACGCGGACCATTTGAAAGTGCAAAGTGGATGAAGAGGTGTTACGAGAAGAATGGAGACGAGGAGGGTGTAAAATCTGCTAAATATGATGTGATCAAAATTCGGGAAGACTGTACGTGAAGTCTAGAAAAACAGATAATTGCACAACGAGGGATTCGGTGAAACAAATAATTATGAAAAATCTCTTAGGAGTCTCTCAGATATACATACTGGCAACGCTAATACATCATACCTATTGGTTTGTACCAGGTATGCGCCCGGATTGCTCTTAAACCACGCCTGTTTAAGACTCTAATAATTCGTTTGCCTGACGTCAATCGGCCTTTAGGAGCACTCCAGGGCGCTTCCAGGGTAAAAAACGCTCGTTAGCCCTGTTTTGTAAACTTTACATAACACGGGAACATTATGCAACAGCGATACACTAATTGTTCAACTCATATCTATGGAACAGATACATCTTTCTCATATATAAAATTCAAGATAGAATCAAAATCGGATTAAAAGACATCAGATTCGAAAGCCTGTATTGTTCCACGGACGAAACTTGTATGAAGGATAGGTAACACGCTGAATTGGGGCGTGTTTAACGCGATTAACCCTTAGGCTTTGGAGCAAGGTGCTCGGATCCACTTTGACTCGGCATACTAAAATTATTATTTGAACGTTCGCTACTTTAGGTCAAAGTGGTCCCGAAACCCTGAGGGATAATGCCCAACTCTGGCCAACAAGAGTATCATGCACATGCTGGGGCGATACTGCTGAGGTGAAAACGTCTCACGACATGCACGTAGTACGGGGAAAAAGCTAGGGTCTGTCCGAACATGTCTGCGAAGGCGGTTCAAACGTGTCTGCAGGGACGTAGCTCCGTGAAATCGTTAGGGAATTGATTTCTTGGTAAATAAATTACGCGTTCGATCCTCGATCCATTAACGTAGACAGAGGATACGATATTCGAAGAAAGTTCGGATGACTACGGTGCATGAAATAAATAAGGAACATAGAATACGATGGAAAAGAGTAGTCGTGGATGGATGGTGTCCTCTCACGACACGATGCAGCAGCATTTCCGGCATCTGCTCTTCTTTCCGACAATGTTGTGCTTACATCGCTCCGTGACCTTGTAAGCCTTCGATTTCAACTTCGCGTTCCCCGCGTTATCATCCTGAGTCTGCACGCGATAGCTCCTCGCAGGAATGTTCGTGACTACGATCTCGTGTTTGCTCTCACATCTGAGGATCTCCGTGTCATTGCACACCTCTATCTCGCTGCGCTTCGCCTCCTCAGCTTCTTCTTTTCTCCTATCTCCAACTAATACTAGAGTTTCGTTTGTAATACTGGGCCCGCGCTCCTCGAACAACGCGTATTCGTCGTCTCTCTTTTCATTGGAAGGCTCCGCCCCAGGTTCGGGCAGTTCTTTCTTCTTGCTGTAAACCTCCCGACTCGCTATCAGCTCGTCTAGACTTTGCAAGAATAAATCCTCTTTACTCCTCTTTCTCAGTCTGTTACTCTCTTCGTTCAATTTCTCGCACAGCTCGTCCGACTTATCCGAGCTGATCGCCTCTCCGCTCAGGCTTTTTGTTCGGTCGTCTGAGTAGGTACTCAGCTTGTTGTCCGGGTAGCCGACGTATTTATCGTCGTGCAGATACACGGAACTCTCGTTGGACTCAAAGTTACTCGCGTTTATGATCGATATCCTGGGTATGATTAGATCAGGTGGTAATCCGTCAACTCCGTCAGGAGGACTGGAAGTTAAGGATCCCCTGTCGACGAAACTGTCCCCAAAGGAATGATACGCTTGCTCCCCTTTGCCCTGGATCCAGGCGTGAGTCAGTAGATGAGACCTTTGCCAGGACACGTCGCTATTGGATCTGTTGGTTCTGGCTGTCCATTGGCGATCCTCGTTGTTGGGCCAACAGGTTGACCGCAGGCAACAATCGCTGGGACTCCTCTTGATGTCGACCCCTAGGTCCTGATCCGTGTCTCCAGTCTCGTGTTTCTTGTTTCTCACGATCAGCTCTAGCTTGGACTTGAGCAGAGCCGGCGACACCGCTCTGTCGATGCGTCTCGAAGAGTTGGATGCATGGGCGGTGTGCAAGGAAGATTCCCGCTCGTTTTCGGCGTCCGGTATCTCGGTCGCAGCGACTATCATCGCGTTCGGACTCGGACTGTCCATGCTATCCGGGGTGTAGGGATCATGCTTCAAGGGTACCGCGTGCAACAAATTGGCCGATCGGTCTGTGTAACCACCGTGACCGATCCGACCTGCCGCGCAACTATTGTAATCAGGCAACATGGACAACAATTCCACGTAATCGTCTGGCACTCGAAAGCAAAGCTCAGGTGCGCGCGGCAAACTGCAACAGTTTATCATACCTTCATCCAAGGCGAGATCAGCCCTCAAGTAGACTGGCTGCAAAAGGGGAAGAAAAACATGGACGATCCTTATGTATTATCGTGCATCGGTTGATGAAGAAGTGGGCAGGGCGTGGGAGAGGGACGTTCCTCGTGTGGTAGTTTGAGCTCCAAGTCTCTAGCTAACGGTTTACGTGATTTCAAGGGAACTATGATACAAGAGATACTGTTGAACACGGTGAAATGCATGGTCACGCACGGTAACTGAAGGTTAATCGGTCTCGAATGCTTTCTGACCCCTTACGGTTCTGGAGCCTTTCGGTTGATCCAAGGATCAGCAATGTTTTTTCGGAGCTTATGATCGTATGGAACACACATTATTATCCGTGATTCCACATGGAATTCGTGAGATCGAGACTCGGCGAGGTTCGAGGTGAATCGAAAAGTGGTACTACACTGAACCAACTACACCGAGCAAGCCCCTATAATGTTGTTATAGAAACAAGAGATAGTGGAACGCTAGCAGAAATATAGGATATACGGGAGAACCAAGATAAGAACAGGCAGACAGTTCATAGATAGGTACCTTAGTGCTTAAAGATTCATTCGAAACTCCAGAAAAACAGGCTGCACCATAATAATTAAAAGAATGAATCATCAGAATAAGAACTAGGAAGTGTGTAAGTATATGTACCCAGTATAATAAATAGAAAGGAAAGAGTTTCTATTTCGTTTTTAAAATAGTAAAAAAGTATTCTCGCACCTTATGGTCACCCATGCACGTTATCGGACCTACTATTCCGTATTCCACTGAGTCCGGTGACGACATCTGCACAGACAAATCAACGTGAAATATAAAATCGACTGTCCCGGAGGATACTCCATGGATTAGAATGTCAAACGATGGGATTTCATACATCATGGACCAACATTTTCGCTGTCATGCTCAGTAAAACTCTGTCGCACCATGCCGGAACCCGTGTTTGCATATAATGCGAGCCCTCATTGATATCTTCCTCAAACGGGTAACTGGGCACAAATTTAATTGGAAATTCAAATAATCTTCCGTCAAAGTCTTCCAGCTCTCTGTCATATTCACGTAGCTACATAAATATTGGTAATTTCATTATGGTCTTCCTAGTTGTCAATGCACCACCGTAAGTAACATTACAGAACAGATATAACAGACCACGAACTGCTTACCCATTCGCCGCTGTTCTGCATGAACATGTTCTGATGTTCACAGTGGGAAAACTCCTTCTTTCCTAACGTTAAAATGAGATCATCGTCTTTATTGTGAAACTGCAGCTTCGAAATGTTTCCCTTAGTCGATAGTCTTCTTTCTTGAGTATCTTCCGTGAGTTTCTGCGTGAAAGAGAAACAAATCTTAACTTGTTTGAATAAGGAGTACAGGAAGATAAGAGGTGTTTAATGTTTTTGGTTTACCTTTATCACACCGGCTGTGTCCGTTCTAAAATTAAAGTCCCCGAATAAAAAGTATGGTACATTTGGATACTTGTCGTTATGAAACCTATCTAACGTATGCTCCAGCGCTCTTCTACGGGTTTTACTGTATACGGATGGAAACTGGAAAGTAATTATTAAACGATCAATAAGTCTGTCGAGAATCTGCTTCTTGGATGATAGTACACGCTCTTACCGTTTCCATAGCGATAAAATTACTGGCATCGTGAAACAAGTGTATATTTATGAGATCAAAAACCGTTCCACTAATGTTCCATCGCGTTCTCAGAAATCCTTTTCTGGACCATTTGCATTCCGGAAAGAACTCCTGCGGGAACTTTGCTTTCTCTTTGGTCGTGACTGCTTCTATGTTACCCGAGTGAACTTCCTTCCCACTTACCGGTACAAAAGTGCATTCTACAAATGCAATTGTAAATTCATGCATTTATAAATAGTGGGCAGGGTGTCTCATTTTACTTGAGCACCTACCACCTTAAATATTTCATTTATTATTGATAAGAAGAAAGAAAGTAAGAGGATTAAATTATTAGATTTTAAGTGGTAAATATTGTGGTACCCAAAATATTATCCTCAACATTTCTCAAATTTGTTAAGGTGCTCAAGTTGAGTTGGACACCTTGTATACTTATAGTACAGGGTGTATAGTACCTTGGAAGTCCCATAGTAAAACATCCTTCAAGGATTCGTGCACAAAGTAAAAATTTCCAAGTGCCTGCGAAGATAATTCATGTTTGAAGAATTATGTATACTTATTCGGTGCTGTCAACAGGATTTTGTAATCTACTTTTTATTTACATACCGTGAAATGCTCTGCAGAGGAATAATCCTCATCTAAGAATACTCTGATCTTGTCAAACAGTCTTAATTCTTCGGACGACATAAGCAACCTGTAAAGATATGAAATTAAATGATGTTCCATAGAGATCTTGAACCTTTTCTATTATGTAGCTACAAGACAAGCTATATTGTAATTCTTTTTTTACATTGCTCCCCCATGAATATCACTCCATAAACTCTTCTTTTGAAGTGGCTCGCTCAACTGTAGAGCCACGCGTGACCATCTATTTTTATCCCTTTCTGCCAGTTATGCGTTAAACCACATTCAATATTGTGGCCAAGGAAACCTGTTTGTCTTGGTGTGCAATTTATAAAAACTTGTACAAAGCCTCTAATGCATATTTTCTTTAAAATAAGATGTATCTTTCTAACGCAAAGCATTAGTTTCCACCCCATTAATTCAGTTAGGCTCAAATAGGTCTGTCAATGGAAACCCTTCAACTAAGTGTCTAACAGGATTGACTAGAAAATCTTTTCCACAGGTTCCGAAGAATATTACCAAAGACTTAATTACCTGACAAAGTCCTCTACGTGTCTCATGCTTTTCTCATAATTTTTCCCACCCACTTCTTGGCAGTGCAGTGCAATAAACTTTGGATCCAGCCTCAGTATAGTCTGTGAAAAGCGATCATCATTAACGCAAATCCATGTTGTCTGTTTACGTGATGACAGTGCATGTTATCTGCAATACTTACAGATAAAAATTCCTCCGTCCAAATTTTCAACATCACGCTAGGCTGTAAAAATAAAAATAAAACTGTGTTCTTTAATCATTCGACCGCTGTTACCGACATGTCGGCCGTCGGTAAAGAAACTATAACGATCCCAACGCTGATCGAAAAAAATCGAGGTTGGTAACGGTAGTCGGTAAATATCAGATAAACAGGATGTATTCCTTCCGTATCCAGTATTAATTAAAAGTAATCTCGTATATCTATCTATTTATTGATTCAACTATTTGCTTTAACTAGGCAACCATTTACGAAATCGGCGAAATGGAATAGTCAGTCTACGAGTTGGTACGCTTCTTAAACACAAGAAGCAAATATTTTTATAGAGAAGCTGCTAGATCGTTAAGACGAATATTTTATTATTTATCTTTGATTAAAATCACACAAACTTTTTTTGTCTATTTAATAATTGCCGTGTCCTGTGTAGATTTACGCGTGCTGATAACCAACGTGGGACCCGGATTAAGTCACCGTCGCTGTTGCACGCGTAGTATCGTGAGGGACAACGAAGAAAAGAAACAAAAGTTGAATGAACAAAGGAGAAAAGAAGTAAGTAGTATAAGTTCGTAAGAACAGTATTACGATCTAGTTCCCCTAAACTTTTATCATGTTTTGCAGATTCCTTCGAACATGGTTGTTACTTAAAGCAACCACCCTTTTAGGTATATTTAGGTAAGGTATGAGTTTCGAGGGAAACCACCCCAATGGATCACAGTAAAATACAATTAACCCTAGAAGCATCACGTCGTCAAAGCGAGCGAGCAATAAATTATAAAATTGTATTTATTGAGATTTGATTTTAAGGGCCCTTTTATTTCATAATTGTAAAACCAGAGTTCTATAATGGGTCGTTTTAATTCTTTATGGTTCTGGAGGTAAAATTCATCGATTGTTATATACCAATAAACTAAAGAAAGTATTTGTATCGCAAGTACGAAACTCGCGCCAAATGCGAGAATAAAAAGGAAGGTGTAAAGGGGGAGAATGGAAGAGAGAAAGAAGAAGTAGGTCGTGTCACGTAGAAACGTGTAAATCGCGAGGCGCGATCGATTGCTCAGGGTCGTGTGCGGTCGGCTTGAAAGAAAAACATCGGAAAAATCGCATGTATTTTTGTACATACCTCCTCGAAAACGCTGCCCACGTTCGCCGTGACCAAAAGTACCGGAACACTGTCACCCGCCATGCTCTCGGATCCCGTGGGTCTCGGATCGCGGAGAGAAGAGAAGAGAAAAAGAAAAGGGGGAAGGTTCCGAGGAGGCTGAAGAAATGTTTAAAGGCGTCCCACGACGACGTAGAAGAGGGACAGGGCGACGCGCGAGGCCTGTCACGAGCACACTGTCCACTGGCAACTGTGTCGAGAGTGCCAGCCCAGCTAGCAAGCTAGTAAGCAGGCAAGCAGGCAAGCAAGCAAAGCGAGCGAGCGGGGAATTAGGTTCCCGTGGGCGCACTGGTACTCGACACTCGACACTGGGCACTCGGCACTCCGCTGTACAGGTTCCCAGGAGATTTCCAATAGGTTCTCAAGAGGTTCCCGAGAGGTTCCCGAGAGGTTCCCAAGAGACGAAGTCACCCCTGGCGATGGAAGGTCCGCGCGTTCTTAGGGAGCGATCAATCCCTGTGGCGAACTGCGGCCACGGTTCCGCGGCGTGCACCGATCGCATCAAACCTCGCACTGTGAATACGACACATTATTAACCGAATAACGCGAGGCTCGTTCGCGCGCACCAGAGAGAAAAGTTGTGCGGTGCGGTAAATATATCCCTCTATCGGGCAGAGCGAAACCACGCCTACCGCAGACGTCAATAGGCAGTGTCGGAGAGAGGAGATTCCGGGGCCCCGACCGACGCAACGCGTCCTCCACACCTCCGCCCAAAGGAATTCGACGACCGGCTTCCCAAGCTTACAACCTACTCTACTCTAAATACTCCACCGTCGAGTCCATTGTGACGAGCCTCCACGGAAGACTAAATTCAAGACAATTAATTATTCTTAAGCGTCGAACGTAGATCCTGCTGTATACTCCAACAAACCTGGAACGAGACGAATCCTTTCACAGCATCAAACAGTTTAAATCAACCGCCACAGTACAACAGCCCTTCAAGCCCATCTGGATGTCTTGATCACTAAGCGAAATATCCAATTCGTTTCAAAGATCGATTTCATTGTAAATTAATTAAGCGCCAACTCGATTGTTCCCGAAAAAAATTGCGAAGCGGTTCGTAACAACGTTTAGTCGGATTATATTTTGGTCAAGCTTGATCGCTCGAAGAAACTGCAATTTCTTCTATTATTTTAACTCGCTTGAGCATGCCAGTTTGCAGACTGGATTCTAATCATTTCTACATCATGTAATCGTTAAAGCAGCTTTCCAGAGCGGGTCGAGAAAATGTTTGCGACGGTAAAACTAGCTGCTTCGAGGCTTCGTCTAAAGAGAAATATGTAGCCGCCGACTCGGTTAAATAGGATTTCGCGTTCCCCGCGGGCCCGTTGCTTGGCGAACCATGTAGCCCAGTTATCGGGAATTACTAAAAGCGTCACGATAATGAACAGGACGGAAGTGTTGCGCAGATAAGGGCACGTGTGCGCGTGCGACACGATGCTGTATATACGCGTCGACGGAAACCTGTAACTCAATAGCTGGAGACCACTCGAGACACACCTTGTAAAATTGCTACAAGCGAGAAGACTGCACAAGCCCGATGCGTTTGAACGATAAAATTCAAGAACAATGAGATCTAATGGTATACGCCGAGGGCAGGAAAATTCAAAGAAACCAGGCGTGCCAACCGCGGGGGAGGTTTAAATAGAGTATTTTCGGAAAAACGAGACGACGAAGTTCGTCGTCCTCTCGGCTGGTACGCTCCTGGGAAGCGTTGTCGGAAACGATGTTCCAGCTGCGCATGAGAAGGGCGAAACGCACGCGCTCTTCTGTTCCGTTTACCATTACACCTTGCATTTGTTTTTTCGGCAAGATCAAATCTGGTTCGGCGGTCGGGTACGACGACGTTGACGGTGTGCGATCGTCGTCGTGACGCCATAGAGATATCGATGATAAGCGGAGTATCGGGGAGCGACCCTTTGTGGTTTCTTGTGTGGTCGATCGCCGCGGATCCACCCTCGATCGTCTTCCGATCCAGCCAAAGACATCTGGAGTGCGGCTCGGTTTTCCGGCGTGCACTTGCGTGTATTCGCGAGTACTCGCGTGCTCCGCCCGCTGGGTGCATCGCCGCGACCGGTTTGTCTCTTGTAAACCGATATCGCGTCGGTTTCGCGCGGGTGTCGCAGTCGAAACGCGATAGATACCATAAAGCACCGTGTCAGCCGGAACGTGGAACCTAGAGAAGGTTGTCTCCGTACCGAGAACATTCTTGGTTCCCTTGTTCCTCTATCCGTGCTATCGACGAGCTATCAAATCGTTGATAAGCATTATCGACGATCCAGATCGCGGTGCCCCTTGGTCACGAAATCAAATCCGTGTCCCGCGGATAATTATGACTCGTTGTACTAGATACTCGGTCCCTATATCTCGCATCTTGTGATCGAATCAAACTCATCAAACCGTTCGCCATCCCGTGGAACCTTGGCGAATCTGTCCCTCGGGATCGATGACCAGGATTCGCGGTTGCGCGCGATCCTGCTCGGAAACGCGAACGAAAACGCGGACGAAAACCGCACGTTCGGCTGCTGGTCGTTCATCGACACAGGGCTCGCTCCACCATGGACTCAACCATGCTCCCGATTATGGTGTTGTCTCTGTTAATGGAGTTCGCCGGCGCTGAGAACATTCTGATCACCGAGGTGTTCGTGATCCCCATCAGACCGGAGACGTTCGAGTGGAGCAACGCCGACGGTAAGACAAGAAAACGACGTCGGACGAACAATGACCGTGTTGCATCGCGTGGGCGTCGCGTGCAACGGAAATAATCCGAGCACGGGGCGAGACGGGCAGCCCGGAAATAACTGGACACGCTGGCGGGTCCGAGCGGTACGCGTTTTCGATCACACCCGCTAACGCGTTCATTGTTGCACGCGACCAAGCTTGCGGGTGCAGGTCCTTCGGCACGGCAAACCCTTGAATAGCGAATCGAAGCGTACAAATTGTCCCACGAACGAACTTCCGATGTTTCGCAAGGATGTAAACATTGTAACGAGTACCCGAGACCCGTCCGGTTGCTTACCCGAAGATTCGCCCACATGTTAGGATCAGAACTATTGTTTCATACGAGTTGTATTCTGAGACGCGTACTCAAAGAACTTTGCGAGACATGCAGTTAACAACGTAGAGCAAAAAATAACGTGCTTATGAATAATTGATGGCCACGTTATGAATGAATGTCTGCAAGAAATTCGCGCGGACAGTGAACGTGTCTCGATCGAATTGACCGCGTCGAAATCGAGCAGCGTGGACTCGCATACCAATTCCTACGGCTGTCGAGCGTTGTCTCGGCCTAACAGCTGACGATGTCACGTGTATTGATGCTTTCTACCGCGACGTCATTCGGAAATCGTAAACGACGCCCCCCCCCCTCTCTATATCTCTCGGTCTTCCGTTTCATTACGGTACGATTCCTCAAACTGTTTATGTATTGTAGATTACTGTTTCTTAGAAAAACGTGTGAAATCCTTTCGACTAAGTGACACGCGCTCTCGATTACACGGAATTCAATTAATCAGAATTTATCGTACTCGATCACCACAGATATTTCTCGATGACTAACGTAAATCCAAAATTTCGTATCTTGTTTTTTTTTTTTTAGGACGAGCCGATCAATTCTCGTATCAACCTTCTTTGTTGAACGCGCCTGATCTTCCCTCCTGGATCCATTACAGGTACAGCAAGAGGGATCATCGGGGATTTTTGTATGGAGTCGCGTCCAAGGATCAGAAATACTTTCAGGTTCGATGGTCTTGAATTATTCAAATCATTGGAATTATTAGGGTCGTTAAAAGGGGCGTTAACACACTGTCAGCAGTTAATACGTTCAAAACAACGTGCTAGAAGATAAAGGATAAAAAGTTGAAAGGGAATGATCTTTCAGTTAGGGATCGTGGGCCTGAACAAGCATACGTACGAGACCAGATACAAGATCCTGGATATGAACGTGCTAGAGAAGGAGAACCTGACCAAGTACGAGGTCCATCTGAAAATCGATAATTTGAACGTGGAGGATATGTTCGATCGCAACAGGACCGTGGAGCTCCTTGATATATTTAGGTCTGTCGATAAAAAAGGCAACAGGTATAGATGCAACCTTGGGAGATCCCAGGCAGGCTAATCCCTTGTATTTATAGGAAAAAGCTGTGGAAAGAAGCCACCGATTTGTACGTAACTTTCCTCGCCTCTGCGATCGAATTGGGCGCGCGTCTACCCTTGAAACCCAGCGAAGGCGAAGGGTGAGTCCATCAGGAGCTACTAGGCCGAAAAGCGTGATTCTGGAAGTGTTATTTGTCGGGGAATTCAACTAACAAATTGCCGATTCATTTAACTGGACAACACGATTCACTTTGCGTAGCGAGCGTTCATCTCCAAGGGCGCATAGTTCCTTGGCTATCCGATACAAAGGAAAATTAAGGAAGCGTGTAAAAAGGAAGCGACTTCATAAAAAAGGGAATTTACCCTAGGGGAAGAAATTCAGCCGATACAAAAAAAAGAAGTGGTTATCGCCGTTCCGTTAGCGAGGTTGCGGCAATCGAACGGTTCAATGAGATTCAGTGTTCTCTTCGATATACCACTGACGCATTAGTCGTTCGATCAGCGGAAAAACAACGCGAATGACGCGCGTCCCACGCATCCTCCGGCTTCTTTTTCTTTTTTTTTCCAAATCCAAGCTTCCTGCGCTGGATACTTTTCGCGATGTCACGAACGACCCGAAGTGATTCGATCCGACAGATCTTTCGATCTGCTTCGAAGAGGCGCTAGCGCGTGCCTGTCATTGGCGATAGCCGTCTTTGGTAGCACTTGAAAGTTCGTTCGTATTTTCAGTTTTATTATGTAACCGTCTCGAATCTCAGGCTCGTCGAGGCTGGACGATCTACGATCTATGGGATCGGCGACGGATCCGCGGTAAACTTACCAAACGCGATAGCGATCGGCAGGGTGACCGTCGGCGTCGGTTTCCCGCCAAGTCGGGAGTCGTTCGATGTACTTATCAATGGTTCTCATCGCGGATGAGTAACGGTGTCAGCACTCGTCACGGTACCAAGCGGCGGACACCTTCATTTCCGACGAAATGACTCGTCAACGAGCGACTAATAAGTTCGTCACCGCGAACAGCAAATGTCTCGGTACCGTTGTTCGCGAATTCTCGCGATTTTCGAGCATTGTCACGCGTCGAGCACACGCGAAGCAGCAAGTTACGATCGTCGATTCGAGTTGTTTCCCATCAAATCGATTCGTCGACGAACAGCAGTTAGAATCTAAAGCGATGTCTGTTGCTCCCTTAGTCCTCCTGCGTTTCGCGGATCGTCAAGCAAGTTGGATACACTCGATTTATCAGCGTAGCAATTTCGGTGCGTACACGGTGGTCGAACTGGTTCGTCAATCGATATCGCGGCGATAGTCAGACTCGCGAAATACATATATAGTTAGCGACGCGGCGCCGAGTGTCGTCGGAGAACGCGACGAAACGACGCAGATTAGTCGCGCGCGTAGCCGAATGTTGTATAATCTACACATATAAGTAAGTCGCTAACGTAAGTGCGACATTGTCAGCGCGCTCGTACAAGTCGGCCGACTGAATGGCTTCCGGCTGGCAAAACGTGTTGCTCGTTCGTTCGCTCGCTCGTTCACTTGCTCTCACATATCTCGTACTCTCAGCCGAAGACGTCACCGCTTCCCGCATTACGCGACGATGCACCTCGGTGAAAGTTTGTCATTGACATCGTTAACTGTGAACACGACGAGGAAGCGATCGTTTCGGAGCGGAATCGGACCGATACTGTCGCGTTCCCGAGAACCGGACAACGACCGTCGCCGCGAGGCAAAACGATACGCAGCTCCGATACACACGGTTCGAGAACCGATACGACCGATTAACCGATAAGATTGCTTTATCTGGCCGCTGGATTGCGTTGTAAACAAAACCGAGCACTGCCGGAGGTCTCGCAATTTAATTAGCGCTCTTCCTCGAGATTGTTTTGCACGAAGTTAACGCTGGAACGATACTGAAAGAACAGCAGGATCGATGACGGCCTGTTGTAGACCGTTGCAGCTTGTTGCTCGGTTCGGTAAACCGGAACAAGGCCCGACGTTGTCCCTCGATAACACGCGAACCCTGGCCTCGCTTTCTCGAAACGACGATGTTCTGAATCGAAATTCTAACTGTCAGAGTCTAACCAGGGTTCCGGGAATCGGTGGTTGTTATCGGAACTGCGCATCAGCGTTTCGCACATGAAACTTTCGAGGAGATTCGAGCAGTGGATGACGCAAACGAGTGCAGAGTCCCACGATGATTCTAGTGAGCAATTATCGGCGCAGCCGAGGAATCTCCAACTGCGATGAATCCGTGTACTCTTGACGCACCGGCTGATCGATCAACATAGTTGCCAAGTGAATCAATGAGACAGTCGATTGTCACACGTTAAACATAAAATCCTTCCGCTCGAGTTTTATAGCGTTGTTTACCAAGCGTCGAACGGATGGCTCACCGCGGTAGGCGGAAAACGGAAAACACGCCGCATCGGGATTACCCCTAACTTTCGACCGAGATAACGGGAAGCAGCGTGCAAGCAGGAAAGCAGTGACGCACTTTGAAATTCGAATCCTACGTGTCACGGTGCACGTAGACGGCTCCCGCAGATGTTTCTCTCGCACACCTGTCAAGTCACCTTTCTCCACCGTAGCCTCGTCGATTATACCTCTAACTTTCGGAATGCATTTCTTTTGTATTAGGGTGGTGATGAGGCTGGGCAGCTCGGTGCCGTTCTCGCAGGAGCTGAACGAACTGCAAGAGGAGGTGAAGCCCCTATGGAGGAAGCTGTCGTCCTGTCCTCGTGATTTTAAACGCACAAGTGTCGAGAGACTGTTCAGGGAATCACGATTCGCTCTGGACTGGTGTTCCTTCAGATTGGTGGGTGCTCCTTTTATCTCATTTCCAGGTATGAAAAATATGATATTTCCCTCATTCGTTCCCTTCAGGTAGAGCAAGAGCAGCAAAGCCTGCAGCACGAGAGCGCTAGACGAGGACCTAGCATGAACGTAATCGGAGCGGACGTCTTCGAGCACTCGGAGTGGCGATGGGCTAGGTCAACGAAGGCCAGCATCCCAACTAGAAGTTACTTCAAAGAGATCGCGACGACAATCTTTGTGCCTACCGCTCTGCTGCTCGTGCTAGCCGCGTTGCTCAGCACGGTATTGTGCTTGAACCACGAAAAAATGTAAGTGGCTGATCTTCTTTGGATCAGGCAACCCAGGAACGTAAATCTAAATTAAATTAAGCTGTATCTGCTCAAAGAAGAGCTCTATCGTGAAAGATGCAGGCAAAGACGGTTGCCTGCACGACGATTCGCAATTACGTTCACTGGGGCCCGTTTCGAGACCACTGACCGAAATATTTGTCATTCTGCCACCGACCACGTGCTCGGGGAGTGAATTCCGACGTTATAGCTGCGTGCAGGAACGAGCACAAGTGGTAGGGGCACTAAGAACCAGATAGAGGGGGCTACTACGACGACTGGTTTCATTCATAAACGGCCACGATATCTGGTCAAGCGGTGACGCGCGCCGTGCCGGCATGTGCGATCGAAAATACGGCATGTAAGATCGTCGCGAGCCCGCGTTCCACGATAAACGCGACAAACGCCATAATTGCCATGCATGGACAGTTCGATCGGGGAACCGGCTAGGATCTGTAATTTACAAAGCAATCGATCACCTGTGACTGTCAGATTCAGGACACAGCTTTTTCAAAGACATTTGAAGTCTCCAAGAGAACCGTCTGCTTTCAACAAGCGAGCATACAAGGATGTTTGCGCGGTTGGGATACTAAATACGGTTTACTGTACTCGCTTGAGTGTAATGATGTTTAGAAGCAGTAATAAATAAGCAATTTTTCTGACGGACGTGCACGTGTACGATGATCGCGGGTATAAATAGATAGAGGTTCGGCATTTCGCGAATCGCGCGCCTCGCCACAGTACTTGACGCACAGTGTACTTATCGTCGAGATCATTCAATGTGACGTGCGTGAACATAGTATGTAGAACCAGCAAGGTGAAATTAACGTTCGCTGGAATTTTTCTTTAATAAATAACTCGCCGACGACGCGCCGAGACATCGTGTGTGGGTGTGGGTGTGATTTGTATTGTAGGACGCGACGGCCAATCGAGCTTTGCCAAGAGCAAATCGGAGTGCTCGCCGTCAACTTAATCCGCGTTAATTATTCGCACCGCGCTAACAGAGTCCAATAACGCCACTACGTTGTATACCGATCTGACAGACAGGAGCCAGCGTTGCGAACACGCTGACATTGTCTATTTATAAGCAGGCGAGCCTGACGATAGCGTCACCGATTACTCGCGCCTGTTGCCGCAATTAGTTTCAACCTTTTACCAGCAACGTTTACGATTTCAGAAATTGCGAGGCGCGGTCGTGACATTCGATGGAGCGAACGTATTCATGGCGGCAGTGTTGGAGGCATAGAGCGGGTTAAACGAAGGCGTAGAAGGCCATGGGAACGATAAACTTCCGGCTTCGTTCTGCGCTGCGTTAATCGAGCATGTATCCGTGCACACCTCGATTCGGGCGCAAGTTTCATTTACAATTACCCGCATAAAGCCGGTGGTACCCTTGTGTAGGCAACCGGATATACATTTGGGAAGTTACGCAAAAAGTTTCTCCACGATCTTGCCAAGGTATCGCGAAATTACTTCGCATTATTATCCTCTTCACGTTGCTACAGCGATAACCAATTCTTCGCGTGAAACTTTTTCTAAAAAATCCTGTATGTTAGAGCTGAACGCTTGTTGATACATCTGGTTGCCTGCTCGTAAGGGGTTGACTGTAGTTGAAGCTAAAGTAGTGCCGCAAAGGGACCGATTCGAGTTAAAAAATCAAATCTGATCGTGAAAGCGAATATTTTATAACGAATATCGTGAGATAATATTTTTTTATTTCGTTCGAACGTGACCCGCGTGCGAAATACGCGATACGGAGTTACCTTGCTTTTCAAGGGTGCAGTGGCTCGTGATCTACAGTATCTATACACACGCGATCAAGGTAATTGCCATTGGGCCGCAGATAATGCGGGTTACGCGAAAAAAAGCCGTCAGGAATAGGACGTTCGCATGCACGTCACCAGATATGACTCACAGAAGAAAAAGTGTGAATGATAACGCGCTACTGGAATTCATTTGAATGATCGAACTTGGTTCGCGGAACGGTTCAAAAACGCTTCCGCCCTGTTTGATTCATTAAACGCCGACAAGAGCAACAATGTATTTTGCCTTCCGTAGGGACGATCCTGAATCTGAGGAATACTTCGACCAGTTGTTTAACGTTTGCCTCGGCGAAAGGCGGAGAACAGCCAGGTACACGCGATCCAAAGCCATTAACTCGTGTATACTAATTACTTTGACGATTCCTCTCTAACGCACATGAGATACTACTAATCATTCGCATACGTAAGAACTTTAATGATCGTAGTTTCATGATACGATTCGTGCTCCGGTTGCGGTTTCTATAATATATTACTGGACTGATGTTTTTGCTTAAACGGGACCAACTCCCATCGACCACAAAACTTGCTAATTATCTTGGTAGTATGCTCGAAAGTGATCCACTCGGAGTTTTGCCTTACGCTTCAGCTAATCCAGGGATCGATTAAGCTCCGTTTCTGTTGATTCTACAGAGGGGAGGAGAGGGAAATCAGATCCGAAGGAATTGGCAGCAACAACATACAAATGGTCCAGTACGCTGCCACCGAAAGAGGAACTTTGAAGTCTCTCGCAGTCCAACCGTCCAGTCCCAACGACTCTTTGATGAGAAGCCCTAGGTAGGCACCTTGAAACGCACTGTATACCCTCGGTAAGCAGCAAGGTCAATCCAGGATCGATTTGTTATAGATCATTGGATTCATCTTGTCCTTGGCTATTGCATTGTCATAATAAAAATATAAAGTCTCATTTGAAATTACTGGCTGCTTAAAGAGTGTTCTTTCAGGATCTCCAACGAACGGTGCAACCCGTACATTCGACCAAATCCGCCGCCCTACACAGGTCCAAGCAATTTGTAAGTTTAATGTTGTATGGGTTTTCCGATCGTTTTATTAATTATCATTCGTGTGATCTGTTTGTCCATCAGAACTGGAATTCGAGCAGATTTCTGACTACACGAGGAGCCAGCCAAGACGTGGTTTTGTTGAGCGAAAAAGTTAGCTCCGCTATCTATCCGCTGCGAATCGCAAAATTGTCAAAACTGGCTCCGCATTGTTCGTTAACACTTCAAGATTACTAATCTTTGGTAATTGATTAGTTCTGACAACTGTAAAAAACGATGCTTAACGTTACGTAGTGCTGCAAATAGCCCTTTTTATACTATGACCTGTGTCGAAACAGTGGCGACGGTTATTACCGTGTAGGTATAATGCAACTTATTCACAACGAAAATACGTACGTGTTGTTTAGTGGTTTTCTCGAAGGTATGTAAGGATGTAGCGTGACGTCTCTGTTCCTTTCTGTAGTTATTTCTTAATTACGACATACCAAAGTACATACGAATCGCAGAAATTACGAATGCACGTTGATTATACGTAATGATAGTATCGACATATTTATGTGCAATAATACGCGATAAACGATACCTACACATCTGTAAATTACATAATTGTGTACAATTACCTAACTTTTAATAAATTAAAACAAATTGTAACTTGTTTTCACTTGCATAATGTCGCTATTCATCTTTGATAATATTTGTTACCTTCTTTATTCGTTACTTGTCGAAATGTTTCTACTTTCTATTTTTTTTTTATTTAATTATTATTTGGCCCCTATTTATAATTATCGTTCGCTGTTATTATTAGATTATAAATTGATTTTCATATACGCGACATTTGCTAGAAGATTATTATTATTAAGACTGTCGAATAAAAATTTTGAAACGGTGTGAAGCAATATCATAAATTTTCAATAAATTCCTCTTAGAATCATCTGGTGCGTCTTGCCTTGATGGTTCCCCTCAAGCTTAAACATCAAGTACCTAACCTGTTTATAGTTACGCGTGCGCTTTGCACGAACCATGCTTGAATACGGCGATTTTTTAACGGTAGCACCGTTGAGCGATCTTGAACTTGTATTGGGGTAGAAGTTTTCTATGGTGGATGATTAATTTGTGCGACAGGGCTGATAAGATAAGTGTCGGTCCGGTTCAACGGTTCTTGCAAATTTTCCGAAATCATGGCTGGAATTGTACCATTGTCTAGCAGATCTGGTCGAAAACAATGGACACTCCACGGTAACATAACAACAATGTTCACTTTTGTATTTTTCTGCCATTCAGTTCTCTTTATTGTTGGTCACGACAAAATCATAATATCGCGACGACAGACGACGGGTATTTCAAATGAATTTTCAAATGCTAATTGCGAACGAAATGTCAGTCATCTGTTACGCTATTCCATGAAAATGAATGCTCGACAACTGACAGATCGAAAAGGATTTCATAACATTGACCATTTCAGATGGACCACAAGGATCTCTCAGAAGATTGCGATCGCAACTTGCCGAAGACGGTTGTCCGGAATCCCAAGTTGTTTTAGCTAAGCAACTATTAGAAGAAAGATGTGGTAAAATGAAAATTTTCATCTGTATTTAAGTATATATTTTCTTGAAAGATTTGTAAATGTGTCTACACATGTTCAGATCTAGATGTTGATAAGGAGGAGAATGCAAAGTTGGGTGTATATTGGCTTACAAAAGCTTCGGAACAGGGTAATTTGGAAGCAACAGATATCCTCAGGAAATGCTCAGCATCTGGCCGTGGCATTACCGAACACAATTATTATGATGTAAAGAACTGTCTAGATATGACTCAAGATGAGAAACTGGCCAGGAGAGCAGCAAGAGAAATGTTTACTAGGTAGAAGAAATTAAATTTTTTTAATGGATGATCTAAAATACATTTTTAATGTCATGGTTATTTTATAGTCTTTCGAACGGAGAAGATTTTATTACGACAGAGCAGTTGCAAAGACGAATGAGAGATTTAGCATCAAATTTAACCAGTACTGCTAGTTGTTCTCGTTTGAATAACATGCCACAGAATAACACACAGAAGGATGTAAATGATGTTTCCACTGACAACTTCTTCAAAAGTGAGCCATCAGAAGACTCTGTACCTAAAAAAGAAGAAGAAAAGGCGAATGATGTTCATGGTAGGGAAAGATTTCATAACTAGCATACTTTATATTCGCTAAAAACTATTCAATTACTTGCTTTTTCACAGATTGGATAAATTGCCAAGGAGAGAAGATTACAGAAGCAGCTCTAGTTTCTGCTGCTGCCAGTTATGCTAGGGGGATGCTTCCCATAGTTTCACATGCTCTCTGCATGGTAGACACGTCGCAAATGGCATTGGACACCATACCACTGCTCCAAAGACCTTTGATACATCCTCTTGCATCTTTGAAGCGACTCTACATTTGGTTGATAGAAACATTAGGGCAAAGAGGCATGTCGATCAGAAAGTTTCTCTTCACATCAAACGTTCATGTGTTATTGTTACTTTTATTGTATTCATTGGTTGGTACAGAGAGCCTGATCCTTTTTATACCGATGGCGCTATACTATCTGTCTTTTATCGTGATGGTTATAGCCACTTTCCAAATGTTACAACGAAAACGTGAATTCAATCAGTTTCGTGTTTGGTCAGGTTTATTTCTCAGTTACTCAGGGGGTAACCTGAATCCCGAAGAAGCAGAGTATCAACACTGCTGTAACAATTTGAAACCTTACGCTCACTTCTTTCTCGCGTTGCTTCTAAATCTAATGATTTATCCTATTATCGCACACCAATGGACGCCTCAGTCAGAGTTCACAATTATAGCGGTTGCATTAACATTGGTGACTCTGTTGAACTTCATGTGGAAGGACTCATCGAAATTTCCAGATTTCTTAGCACTGTTTAGTTTTAGTGTTCACGTTCTAGCTAAATATCCATACGAAACTGATATCGTAGTTGCCCAAGGATGGAGATTCCTGGATATTAGAGTACCTACATTCGCCTCTTATGTTGTGGGCAATGGTATCGAGTTTTGCTTGAATTTTCGTGCCGTTTTCTATCTCTTGATCCCAGCAGTTTTCGCAAAAATGGCCGCTCAGGACAACTGGCGGGGCACTTATCAGACTTTGATACCTCATTGTGTGACACTCAGCTGGTGGCAGATAGCGATTTTCAGTTCTCAAGGTGCAACCTGGTATGGATTAATTAGAGGTGCTCTTGCGCTGGTTGGCATGGTCCTTTTCCTACCATTGGCAGGTTTAGCGTCCATTATTTTGCCAATAGTGGCCGCTGCTAAATATTTATCTGAGAGTGATATAGCCATGAGGATAACAGTAACTGCTTTGCTCGGAGGAATGCCATTTTTCGCCTCTTGGTATTTAAGGAGAGCTAGAACCCCTAGGTTTAACTGGATCATTACGGTTGTCCAGGTAAATATTGTCTTCATCAAAAAGTACTTGATTTTCCAAGCTCTAACTATTTGATTATTGCAGCTATTTCTGGGCATTGGTGCCGGTATGTTCCTGTGCTGGCCGGTGATCATGGAATATAAGCAGGAACCAGACAGATTCAAGGTGATTTCAACACTCTCATGGGAACAGTATCAGAATTACTGTCACCAGCCTGCCTGGGAGGAATTATCATCCAAAGCCCAAGTACAGATCCAGTGTGCCGATATGGAAGGAATAGTGGTTTCGTGGGAAGGCTATGTGACCAATATTAAATTAAGAACGTTGAAGAATAACGTGGCGACGGTCTTCGACAAATTACCCGACAGTATTAGGGACACGATCGGTTGTATCTACGGTGAACCATATTCAAATAATTGCGACTTGATTGACCAGCCGCGACAAAAGAATTGTAGACAGATTGCAAACATTCAGAGGCGGAAAAACAAATGCCATTTTCCTGCTTGGAATCGGTACGAGTTTGAAATCTCTGTGAAGATGAAAAGCGGTATGTGGGGAAACAACGCGGAGGTTCTGCTCATAGCCGACCATTCGTTCACGAATTTTAGCCTCAACATTTATCCAGGGGACAAAATTTGGTTCTCTGGTACCCTGCTGAATTATGGTTTGGAGGAAGAATCCCTGCTGGGTGGTGCAGAACCACATGTTCAATTGGAAGAGATCGGTTGTCTCGCGTGTCACTCTATCGATTTGAAGTCTTACAAACGCTATAAGTATCACATAACGTTCAGTTCGATTTTAAGCGACCTTTGTCTAAGTATAAAAACTGTTTTAAACTTTTTGTTTAACCCCATCGTGATGTTCAAGTAACCGTGCGCTGTATGGTCGTGTAATCTGATGTACACGTAGGGCGTATCGAATCGCAACGTTTATTATTATTATAATTGTTTACTGGAGATCTTTGAACGTGTATCTACAAACATATTAAGACAAATGTGTCGAATTCTCCTTACTATAACGATTTTCGTGTATTACAGTTTCTTTCTTTTTATAGTAAAGTTGTTATACAATTTATTCTAGTTGAATTGAAGTTATTGTTGTTTAGATAACTGATATAGATTAAATGAGAAAACTTTTTTAACCGATATATGTATAGAATAATACAAGCATATTTTGATGTTACCAACGCCTCAGGCATTAGAAGACTCAATCGAGAACACAGAAAATGTCTATGTCACAGAGTGTACACTTGTATGCATACGTAAGTATGTATATTTTAAGAATGACATATTTTCGTAAGCATTACTGCCAGTTATAGAGACAGGTGTGCTTAATATTTTTCTATTCCGTATACGGAAAATTCAAAAGGATGGAACCTCTGGTAATCTTATTTTAACACAACAGTTATACATAGTTTTTGTAATGACAAAATTTTGAAGACATCATCCACATCTGAAAAATTCGATTTGCATTTTTAAACCAGTGTCTACAACGAATGTGATGCGAGTATCTATATATTATTGATATTAATTTTCTTAGAAGTTAACGTTGCATCTTTGAAACATTCTTGTAGGTCTATTAAACTCGATGGATTATTGAGAAAATTGTAATTTAGTTGTTGAACTATCTTTACTCGTGTAAATGTCATGGATATTACATGTATTTGAAGCATAGGAAAGATATATGTACATGTATGTTACGTAGGAGTTACAAGTTATTGTTAAATCGATGTCAAATGTCTAGACTATGAAAACATAAACAATTAAAGAAGGTTTCGTAAACTGTCCAGAGTTATCGACGACAGTTACTTTCATGTCATATCAGGACAATAGTGACAAAAATAAAAAAAAAAATAAAAAAAAGAGTATAGTCGACACAGAAGACAAATATAGACGTGCCTTGATGTTTTCTGTTCGATTAAATGATTTTATTATTTATAATAAAATATATTTTAAAAAGTATGATCATTGTTAGATTGAATGATTCATTGAGATGAACTGGCTCACGATTTCACATGAAATGTGTTATTCGTATACATTTTCTTCTGATTTTTTTTTTTACATAAAATTGTTTATGTTTTACCAAGAAATTTAATTTTTATTATACAATTTAATATACTTTTATTTCGTATTTGGCAACAGATGATGTACATTGTTTTCACGGATGATAACATTATGTTCTTTTCTTTCTTTTTAACAAAACAATCGTTTATTCAGAGATTTTGGTTCCCTTTATTCTTGGTTTTTGTATAAAAAAAGGGTTGCGCAGTATGAAATCACTCTGCAACCATTTCATACCAACAGTTTTGTTTGTTTATGTACAAATATAAAATCTACATCAATAAAGTCTTTTCGATCATGTCAAGTGCGACCTCATAGAAATCCATTGTTCCTAAAAAGGAGCTCGTTTCTCTGACTGGGTCCCCTACCCATGTGTGTGATGTCTTATTAAAAAATCTTGCAAGTTCCAGACTCACTGCGAATAAATTATCATATCCCTTAATTCAAACTGATTACATAAAAAATCATCGATGCTTCGGTTTCTAAGTGTTAAAGAATGCAATAATGTACATTGTACTGAACTTAGAGCTATGGGATTAACTGCAGCAATCTAAGAGGACAAAAACTTTGGCAAAGGAACTGTGTGCACTACACGTATTAACATTATTAGGACCAGAATAGCAATAGCATAATTCGACACGCCGTACAACTGCTGCAACAATTTACACGTTATTTTAATTATTGTTTAATCGGTTTTTGCTATGTATACTTCCTGTACGAATCTCCTTCGAGAATGACGTTTTCGGAAATGGGACTAATGGCTAATACAGTAACCGTCGTTCTTCTTTACACTAATATCCAAATGAACAGTCTTATGAACACTTTACAACGACACTTTATCTCATTAGAATGAACATTCGATATAAACGAGAAATTTGAAAATGGAATAGTTCGTCGGTTCTCGCCAAGCGACTTAATAAAACCGTTTCCTACTATTCTCTTGATGCTTTTGATACCACATGATGCCTATCACGATACAAGCGATTATCGCAAGTGCACTGATGAGCATTAACAGGAAAAACATTATTCTACTTAACGTAGATTGCTTTGGATCGTCTATGTGCTCTGCAACAAGAAACAGTTTTCTTAACGAGTAAGAACATTATTTTAAAACAATCATTATCCATTACTTATTGCATTACCTCGTGGAGCTTCGTAAAACGCGGCCGAAGGCAATATGTTGGATCTATCTTCCTGATCTTTTGGCTAAAAGTAGATACATATTATTGATAGCAATCGTGCACAGAAAGTTTTCATAATACACAGAGATAATGCTTACGTCATCTGGTAGATCTAACTCAAACAGACGAATCGATAATAGATCATGATTGTCGGATAAATCTCCTGTAGTCGCCGAAATTCCAAAATAGTAGCCAGTAGGAAGCTTTATTTCTTTTACAGAGAAACATTCCTTCCATGCAGCTTTGTTCACAAAGTCCGTGGATACTAAATAAAAAAGTCTTTTAGAGTATATCTTATACATGTTTAAAACCATGTGCATACTATGTTATTAAAACTATTCTTAAAACTATTGATTTCATGCTACATTAAATAAATTAGATGATTTCTTTCACATGTTTATGAGGTAGCATGCAAACTTGATATTAAAAATCTAATGCAGAGAATAAGTAATGCACAAAGACTGAAGTTGTACCCCGCTCACTGAAGTTGAGGCACACCATGTTGTAAGTCTGGAGGCCTCAGGAAACGACCTTACTATAATATTAATTTGTACAACAGCGCATAAATTCGGCTAGTTGCTCATATATACATGTTTGAACACCCTTGCAATTACTTTGAACAATGAACATCAACAAAATTTTCAAGTACTTTTAAGTTTCCACATGTTAGAATATTGCAACAACAGATTTCTCATGCTCTGAACTTTACTATATTCTGTGATCATGATGACTTACCAGTTAATGTATCTCTTTCGTATCTAATAGCAATGTGTGTATCATGTTCTAAGTTTCTGAATTTTGCTTCACAGCCAGCAAGTTGAGTGTGAGTTCCATCACGGTCGTGATCATAATGCAAGGAACCATTGTTAACCATGGCAGAAATGTATGGATGCTGGTGCTAAAATATTCAACAAATTCAATATATGTAACTATTATCATTCATTACATATATACATAATAGGAATTATCATTCTATATGTTCATTGCAAGTTAATTAAATAATATTGTACTTTAATTACATTCTCCTTGAATTAGATAGTAATTCAATCATATTGTAGTTGAATTACATGGTAAGTATATGATATATATAGTATATAACATACATTATGTGGGCCATTATGATTGCTATACGTGTCCAAAATGATAGCCAATCCTTGGAAATAATCCTGATTTCCAAATACTGGACCAGACTGCATCCTATCTTTAGCATACCAAATGACAAAACCATCTCCGAACAGATCTCTTCCTTTTCCATGAACTTTGAAGTGGATTTGGAACTCCCAATTCCTTACATGGCAAGGCTAGACAATAATGACACAAAGACAATTAGCTATCACCTACTACAATTCTAGCCTTTGTCTTTATAAAACCAGTTATTCGCTTCCTTGATAATCTGAATTATACAAACATGACATCCTAATCTATGAAACTTGCCCTATGACTAATTAAACAAACATGATGACAAAGAATTTATAACTTACAACAGAATTCCATATGGCACCTTGTTTACTTTGGAGATCTGGAGTTAATCTAATATAATTATTTGTGACCATTGTGCTACCAGAAAAATCCCAATAAGGTATTGTCATTCCAGAACCTAAACATAAATACATAATTTTTCACATATTCGTGGAAGAATGCGTTATGTTTTCTACAAGATTTAATAAGTTGGTAAAATTGCTTTAACTTAGTTCTAATCAAATCATTACTCATAAGAAGAACAGTAAAAAAACTTTTATTATTTATAAAAATAACCTTAAATTTTTATTCATTTATAAGAAGTTTTGAATTGTAATTGTAAAACATGACTTGCATATATTGAATTTAAATTAGAGGACATTACACGTCACTGAGTTTTACGTTGTAAAACGTAATTTCCGTAAAACGATACAAAATTTACAAACCTTGATACGGTCTGATCAAAGAATGCTCTCGTTTCATGTAGTCTTTTGTATTCCATTCTGCAGTGGCTAGCTGCCAAAGGCTTGCAACAAATAAAAAACACGATATCACATTCATTTTAAGTATTTTACGTCTATGCTAAATAACTTTGAATATCAAATCTACAACTCCAGCCACCGAGAGGATTAGAACTCGTAAGTCGTAATCCACTGAAGCCACTACCAGAATTACAATTCTGTTATTCGCAGAACCAAGCTAAGTTAGTCACCGAACACGCAATCCAACCAACATAAAAATACAAATATTCCGTGGTGGCGTGCTAGGAACCTTAATTATTGTATTAATGTATTAGAATAATTATCCATTAATATTCTATTATATAACATTATTATGCTGTACTTAATAAATGTCATACATTATACTTTAACATTTATTTTTTTAATTTTTGTCTTCAACTGTGTATGTAACACATAAATGATTTTTAAAAGTAATTTTTGAGCGTGAGTGGCGCCATCTACTGTAGCGAGTTCATGAACTAATTTTCTCTATTCAATTCTCTCCCCCCAATCCCAATTCCAAGCTCTTTATTTAAAGTGGTAGGACACATATTCTGTTTACACTGTTTTCCGTTTACCTTTCTCATGATTACAAAAAATCAACTTATCTACTAAAAACAAAACGAAACTTTTCTTCTTATTTTATAAAATAACACACATACGCGTATACACTTTTTCTTAAGTTCTCTTGTAACCTCAGTATCAGTCTTTTACCCGTATTTTTTATCTATTCTAGCCTTCCGGGTGTCTATCCAGGACCATACCTTCATCCCTTTTTTTGATTAGTGAAACATTTATCACTCCCCATTATTCTTTCTATTAGCGTCGCGACGAAATAATCGCGTTCCTGCGCTATGCACCATCCACCCGCCTCGAATGCGCCTCTGTCCAGGAGCGTTAGGTTATCTTTAAAAAATAGCGTCGCGAGGATTCTTTTACGCGTTGTCTTAGCATCGCGAAAATTTCGAACGCATTGCGTTAGATTTGTGAAATAAATGCCGCACTGCGAATAGCCGTTTCAAGGATCGCCTGCATCATCGCACAATTGTCATCAATTCCCTTTAGCGTTGCGTGGAAACAGATCAAAGTGCACGAGAGTTTTCAACTTCGAATCGAACACATTAACATCATCGAGATTATCAATGTACTGTTCGTGTTGCTATTGAGGAATTGAACTCTAAATCTTATAGGTTAGCGATAGGTATCGAAAAATAAGTTCGCGTTTCTTTACCTCTTTGTCTTCAATTTTCTCTCTTCATGTAAAATATAATTGTAATTCTTCTGTTCAGCATCGTAATGATATTGTTCGATGAAATTAGAATTGAATTACAATGATAAAAGTATGTAGGGAGAATAATCCACTGTAAATTCAACGGTCCCTCGCGTTTCCATTTAGTGCTGCGCAGACAAAAATGAAAGTTCCCATTCTGAAATTTTCCATTCTGAATGAAATAAATTGGCGTTGCGATAAGGAGTGCACTACTCGTGTTTGCTCTTAAACAACAATGTCTATTTCTTAAAATAGTGCTGCATAAGTATAGTTCACTCGTGCGTTTGTTTGGAATACATATCGAGTGAACCACCATTTATCGAATGTATCTTTTCTGTTTTATTTTTGTTTAGATGTCATTTCAAGCTTAACATTAAATCTATCATCGCCGGTTAAAATTTCATAGGAAATGATGGAATAAATTTCTTAATTCAATTACGCATTATACTAAAAATTGTGGAAAGTCTAAATAAATTCAATCTTACTGTTCTTACAGGGCAACATACATTCATAATTTTTAATGCTCGGTAGGTTTTATTGTCAAGCCTGTTTCAGCTTATTTAACAAATTTTATTTATAACTATTACTTGATTGTGTTGTTGTAATTGGGATGTGGTGATATGTGTAATTTATGTTGCACTTCGTATGACCTCAGCTTTTATATCGAGCATGTTAGAAAGATACAGCTTGAAATAGTATGTATACGTAATTTTACTTTTTCGAAAATTCGTATTCGTATTTGTGATCGATGATGGTATACTGTAGGAGAATCATAATCGTTTGGGCTTTGGAAAGATTTAGGTTTTCATCGAGGAATATCATCGTACGAAGATGTCTTATCTGCCGCTGAATGCGTAATTTTAATACTTTAAGCGTTAAGTCGCGTAATTAAACGTATGAGAGTAATGTAAGATAGTTCTACATAATTTAAGTTGAAAATAATTTGTTGACATGTGGTTTGTTATTAAGGCGTTAGTTATTAAGTAAAACTTGTGAGTAACGAAGCTATAACGAATTCGTTTTGACTCCCTTTCGGGTCTCCAGTCACAGCAACCTCCACGCGGTGGACATCGAGCTAGTGATTGTGAAGCAAGGCTAGGGAAAAATAAATTTCTTAAATAGTAAATAGACTATAAATATTTTTATCTTCTCATGTAATATATAATTTTGCAAATAAACATTTTTTCAAATAGTAGGAAATAGCATATGGAAATAGCATTTCAAATATATGTATTTAACTACGTAAATATCCATATGTAACTAATATTTCAAAAAAAATTTACTTGCCAAATTCTGTATGGGAAGATAAAGATTTATTATTTATTATATATATTTTTCCTCAGCCCTGCTGTGAAGCAAACGGTTTAAATGCGAATGACGATGTAAAATTATATTCCTCTACTTCGCAAATGAGGTTTTGATATTTATAAAATAATATTTTGTTATAATTATAGATATGTGATATCGGTTGTGTAATCTTTTCTGAAGTTTCAGATACAAACTTCGCCTCGATGATTGGACGAGCTGGAAAGTCTCGAAAGTTATCGGATGGCAATGTCACAGACAAACAATGCTATTTTTGCAATGTTAACACTGTAAAGCTTATAAAATTAACGTTGTAAATACCTATCTGCAAAAAAATGTATAAAACTATTGTTATATGTGTACCATCACTAATTATATAATTAGTAGAAATAATTACTCAACTGTCCATAAAAATAATTACACTTTATATCCTATTTATGTAGTACAGCAATCTCTCAATTCAAAAACTATATTCGGAGGCAACAAGATTCTTGAATTGAAACAATGCAGCGAATTGCTGTGCTCTGATTGGCTGTCGATTCACAGCTGAATAGTGCTGCTCTCATAGTCAATGACAAAGAAAGGAAATAGCGAGTGAGCAAGATAATACGACATTAGCACAACCACATGCGAAACGAGTTACACCACACTAATGTAGTTTGTCTCACTTTATCGTGCTTGTGGTCTTACTCTTTTTGTGCATCCGTACGCCCGGCGCTCCATCTGAAACACGCGGCGCGATATTCGACTTATATTTTTTGTCTCGTAGCATTCTCCACCACATTTCCAGCGAATTTGCGAACAATGCTCAACGTTTCAAATGTATTTAATTGACCTGAATATTAGCGCGGGAGAATGAATGAATGTAATCCGCATGAATAAATGTGGTTATGGAGATTTTAATTATATTAATTATAGGTGTTTGAAAAAATAAAAATTGCCTCCAAATAATATTCAGTGCTCGCAGTAAAGATGAAATATTTTTTTCGTAAACTATCGATGACGCTGAGCGCGTCTCGAAATGGTAAGTGGGCTCTAGAGCTCCCCAAAACGAGGTCAGGAAAGCTTATAATATGCAATATTTGTACAAATTCTAAGTCTGTGTTCATAGGACTTTACGCACAAGTCGACAATTACCTAGCAGTTTGAATGTTCTGTCACAATCGGCGCCCCTAGTATCTGGCGTTTTGCTTTTTGAGATCGGTAATTGGCTAATAGTTTGAGCATTCTGCCACGAGCGGCGCTACCAGTACCTGGCCTGTGCTTTGCTTACAGTAAATTTAGTCCTATGAATAATTTATCTTTGAAAACCATTGTGTGTAGTACTTACTGTAATCTATCTACAGTCGTTACTTATACCGTCAACATCGTTTTACGATTCTCCGAACATCTTTTATGATACATGGTTACATTTCACGAAATATACGGAATACATTTTATGAACATAGGTGAGTATTTAACAATTTAAATATTGTTTTAATACATATTTTTGGATTTAAAAATTCATCTTAATCAAAAGTACGTAGATACCAGAAATATTAACTACGATGACTGTCTTATTTGAATGAAGAGATAAGAAAATAAATGAAGTTTGTGGAAGAGAAAGTGAGGAGGAATGTTATTAAAAAAGAGAATTTATGCGAGTGAGTGAAATAGATTGCAAGAAGAATGTCGTAAAAGGAGTGGACACACCTGTTTTGTTTGACAATTTTTTTTCTTTTTTAATTAACATGTGTGTTTATTTGTTCCAGGTAAATATGTTGTGCACTGTCTTAAACGTTTTAAAAGAATATGTAAATAATAGTTTTCAAGGCAAAGAGCCATGGCAGATAGCAACCATAACAACTACTACTGTTCTTACATCAATTTGGTTGTGGAATTTTGTTTTTCAAGATGAAAGTATGCAGCTTATTCAATATTTTGTATATTTTAAGTATTTTTTAAAATACGTAGAATCTGTTTTATTTTATTTCATAGGCCTCAAAGAAAGGGGAAAGAAGAAACTCTTCAGTTTAAGAAATTATGTACCTTATATCAGAGACAGAGTTAATGAGGAATTAAATAATATAAATTTATCATTCGAAAAAGAAGCTGTACAAAGAATGAAAGATGTTCCATTTATTATAAAGCTTCCAGATAGTGGTTTGAAGTCAGCAGAAATATTGGAGAAAGTAAAACACAGTATCCGGTTAGGTAAGAGGAATAAAATTCACTTATTTTTGTCAACATTATACACAAATATTAATCTACTACTTCTATTTAGGTGATTATGATTGGGAGAATGGTAAAGTATCTGGAGCTGTCTATAGGATTGATCATGAACTGTTAGAATTAATAGGAGATGTCTATTCATCTGCATCGTATACAAATCCTTTGCATCCTGATATCTTTCCTGGGATATGCAAGATGGAAGCAGAAGTAGTTAGAATGGCTTGTCATTTATTCCATGGAGATGAAGACTCTTGTGGCACAGTAAATATTTATTAATTTTAATGAGCATGAAGAAATACGATCCTTCTTGATGTATCATTGTGTACAATGAGCTTTGTTTTCCAGATGACTACTGGAGGTACAGAGTCCATTTTATTAGCTTGCAAGACCTATAGAGACTATGCAAGAGACGTGAAAGGTATTAAGAAGCCAGAAATGGTAGTACCAGTTACGACTCATTCTGCTTTTGACAAAGCAGCTCAGTACTTAAAGATTAAAGTTCGTTATGTACCTGTAAATCCACATAGTTACACAGTTTCTATGAAAAGCATGGAAAGAGCCATCTCTAGAAATACAATAATGGTAAATTTCTTATTCCATTATTTTTTAATTAAATCGATAAATGTGATTTTTATATAGGGGATATGTGATAGTTGGTAGGTTCAACTCCAAATTTCCCATATGGGACAATGGACAACATTGAAGCAATCTCTAAGTTAGGTGTAAAATACAATATTCCAGTTCATGTTGATGCCTGTCTTGGTGGATTTCTAATTTGTTTCATGCCACAAGCGGGATATCAAGTGCCATCATTTGATTTTAAACTGCCTGGAGTTACCAGTATATCAGCTGATACACATAAGGTACATAAATTAAAGAATAATTGTATTATACGTTAATTTTCGTTGATTTTTGCATAAATATAAAATTCTTCTTTATTTCTAGTATGGATATGCTCCTAAAGGATCCTCTCTTATCCTTTATAGAAGTAAAATGTACAGGCATCATCAATATACTGTAACAACTGATTGGCCTGGTGGCATTTATGGATCTCCAACAGTAAATGGCTCAAGAGCTGGTGGAATTATAGCATCATGCTGGGCCTCCATGATGTATTTCGGTTATAATGGATACGTAGAAGCAACTAAAAAAATTATAGACACTACTAAATACATTGAACAGAAGTAAATGCTTTAATTCCTTAGTGTCTCTTTTTTTCTGATTTATTGGCATGTAGATGTATTTATACGTGATTACAGACTGAGAACAATGGATGGAATTTTTATCTTCGGAACACCGGCTACCTCAGTTATCGCTTTGGGATCAAACGATTTTGATATTTATAAGTTATCTGAAGCTTTGAACGTCAGAGGATGGAGTTTAAATACACTGCAATTTCCTAGCGGCATACATATTTGTATTACTTATGTACACACTGAACCCGGTGTTGCGGATCAATTTTTGAACGATGTTAAAATAGAATTGGCTATTATTTTGCAGAATCCGGATGTACCAGTAAAAGGGAAGGTAAATATAATTGATAAATATTGTTACGAATATTGTAACATAAAATTAATGTTTTCTAGCTCGCTATGTACGGAATGACGCAAACTATACCCGATAGAAGTATTATTAGCGATTTTACAAAATGCTATTTGGACTCTATGTACTATACGCCCAAGAATGAAACGGAGATTAGCAATGGTCCACAATAAGTAATTATAACAAAAATTGTTTAAAAAGGGAATAACTTTAACACGTTGGATATCTTAATTTTTTTTTTATCGATGAATTACTACTATGAACAATGTGATATGAACTGTATGAATGTTTTATCATGATTTTTTTCTGAGAAAAAAACGGGTTCACTTTATAGCTGCTCATATTGCGTGTATGAAAATGCTGTAAACAAAATACGTTGTATATGCCATTATATAGAGTATTATTCTCGAC